ATCTTTAAGGACGAAAATTTGCCAGACTTTTCTTCTTTCTTTGGGGTTTCTTGTCCTTCCTTTTCTATATTACTCGGTGGAAAAAGGAAAAAAAAGAAACAAGAAGGGAAGACCTTGGATTCCTGGAAAGTGGTGGGGCAGCTCATGTGATTCCTGTATCAGTTAGATCTCTAGGTCTGGAGGATTTGGCAGTCCCCCTGTTCCTAAGCTATATGTAAGACTGTAGCAGCATACTACTATCTGTATGAGCTTATTGTCCTGTTGTTTCTGAATGACCATTTTCACGGTTTTCCATTTACCTTTTCCCCTTCCATACGTTTGGAAATACTTGCCCGGACCGCGATTCGTGGACCGAGTGTGATTGCAAAACATTGTTTCTGTGAGCGCTGCATGATCAATGACTATCGTTAGCCCCGGTTCGTGTGGATTATTTTTTGCCGTTTTGAACCGGTTTGAGTTCCTGAGTAACATGGTTCAGATGGGTAAAGTATTAAAGGGGACTCATCCTGATTCGATGTGATTGCATTTCTCTTCTTGGTGAATCATTTTAGGGGTGATTGGTTCCTGTGCGGTCTGGTTCCCGTCTAAGAACCAGACTAAAAGGACCGGTTCCCGGCTTCTAAAATTGTGAACTGGACTGGTGCCCCTTGGAACAGGACCAGATGAACCTTTGTTCGGTCCAGTCTAGCTCCGAGTGGGCTGATGAACCGATGGCATATTCGGTTTGTTTTTTTAATTTGTCTTTAATGTTCATGATGAAATCGAATATATTCTTGATAATCGAGGTGTTTTTATAATTAGTAAATTACGTGTAACATTGTAGGTTTCACGGAATTTTTTTCAATTTATGACACAATTTGGTTGGAATGAGCAATTATTGTTGTGTTTGATTTGTTCTTATCATCTTACTTACGTGTATAAGTATGCGTAGCCGCACCGGCCTTGAAGGCCTTCATTTGTAAAACGAGAGATAAATTAGGGTTTTCTTACAAATTTTTAAGGTATTAAAAAATTTAAAGAAAATTGGTAGAACCGACCGGCACGGTTCGATCTGAACAATTCCTTTTGCTCATCCCCAAATCATGTTATGCCATTGCAGATGTATGCTAAATATGTACTTGAGATCTACCAACTATAAAGCGGCGTTAAGAGAATGTTCGTGTCTACCGTGCATTGCAGGGGATAGAAATAATTTTCTATTGCGAGTGCCCTCATTTAATCAGAGAAAGGAATCAGATGAATTTTTTAAAATAAAATAAAACGAAATAAAAACTCAGAGAAAATGGAGAGCCACGTGGGATGCGTGCTGAAGAACATTCTTCGGCCCCCTTTACATTTGGGTCCTTTTTCTTTTTTTTTTTTAACGGGTCATTGAGGTTAGTCAAAATGCTTCATGAATATGAAATGAAAGGTTAACGACACAAATGACTATTGAACTTTGGCCCAACGTATAATGTGATCCATGAATTTTAGTTTAATATATAATACGATCCCCGAACTTTTAATTTGTTCAATATTGGTACATGTTCAATGGAGTTATGATTACATTGAACATTTTCATATAGTGCAGGGACTAAATTGAACATGTACTAAAAGTTCATGGACAAAATCGAACAAATTAAAAGTTCGGTGATCATATTAAATAAATTAAAATTTAATGGATCATATTACGCATTTGACTAAAGTTCAAAGACTGTTGGTGTCATTTTTCCTGAAATGAATGACACGCCAATCGCGTTCAATGTTACCAACTATTGAGAAGAGACTTAATATGAGTTTTGAGAGTGATAATATCTCTAACAATATTTACGGGGAAAGCTTGGACTACTATATATGCGCGGGGCCTCATTTTGACGTAGCTGCGATTGAGCATTGTTCGAAAAGGTCTATTTAGTCTAATTTAAGATAAAACATCGTATCGACGGGGGTTAAGAAAATCGACTTGATCGCGTGAGCGGTTATGCATTCCTATTCGAATATAACTTTTTGTCTAAAAACAATGCAAGCATGGAATTTAATTTAGTATTTCGAAACATTTTTTATAAGTTTTGTACGGAGGCTGTCTTAAATAAGTTATTAACTAGTTTGAGCTCGACTTGATTCTACTTGATTATTCGATGAATTTAAGTTTAAACTCTAGTTATGCTCAATTCTAACTCAAGCTCAAATACGAAAGTCCGGAGAGTAAATAAAAATGCAATGAAATCGTTATTTTTTATTCAAATATATTACGATTAAAAAATATACAAAATGCAATCAAGGCAAAAATATAAAAACTCAAGCTTTCTTGTATTAAGCATTCAAACTCGACTCAGCTAATTGACTTGAATTAGGGCTCTGTTTGTTTCGTGGGAATTTTTTTCTCGTTCTCCAATGTTTGGATTGCTGAGGAAAACAAGTCAATAAAAAATCTATACTTAAATTCAGAAAAATGATTTTCTATTTTTAAAAAGGAAATCATTTTTCAAATACATGACTATATATTAGTGATTGGACAAGAAACTTCGTGCTTGGGCACGAGAACCCTAATGATAATTTCTAGGTCCCTAGCATCTAGGACCGGGTCCCCGGCACTGGACTCAGATTTGTTAAGGCTGAGCCCGCGACCCTAGTGTTCATGTTTGGGTCCTCGCTATCTCGGCCGAGGTACATGGTGCCTATGCCCAAGTCCATTAAGTTGAAGACCGGGACCAGTGCCGGTGCCCAGGTCTTCAATGCTTAGGCTTGGGTCCATCGAGGCAAGGTTAGGGACCTTGGTGCCCGTGCTCATATCCCCCACGCTCGAGCCCAGGTCCAACAAGGCCGACGCTCGAGACCTTGGCACTTGTGCTCGGGTCCATTAAGGCAAGACCCGACACATCGCGCGCCCAGGGCAGTGTCCATTTATGTCAGGCCCGAGTTTCGACGACAAAGGTTTTAGGGCCCAACCTCCAAGGACTGAGCTCGATCACCAAGGACCTAGGTCTAGTCCTCGGGGACCCAAGCACGAGCACCAGTGTCCTTAGGCTAGGCCCGATGGGCCAAGGCTCGAGTGTCAGGACTTGATCTTGAGAGCTGTGTACCCAGGTCATTAGGAACCTGCGTTCGGCTTTATGGACCCGGGCTGCTGGGGATCTAAGCACTTGCACCGGCAACCCTGGGCCAGCCTCGATGGACCGAGGCTTAAGTGTCGGGGACTTGAGCCCGAGAGCTGAGGACCCAGGTAACTAGGGTCCCGCGCTGGGCTTTTGTGGACCTGGGGGATTTGAGTATGAGCATCAGGGCCTTCGGCCCGGCCTCTAGGGACCTGAGCCTAGGCTCCAAGAAGTCATGCACGGGCACTGGGTTCGGAGTTTCGGCTTCCGTGGACATGAGGTCTATGCCAACACTCTTGCTCTAAACCCAAGTGGCTCACTCGAGTCGAGGTCTATCAAGGCAGGACCCGGGATCCTAATGCCCATGCCTGGTTCGCCGACTGTTTATAGGCAAGTTGCCAGCATCCAAATAACGTATATGTATTTAGGAAAATCAAATCAGATTTACCTTTTCAAACGACGGAAAGTATTTTCCGATTCTGTTTCAAATTTGAGCCAAACAATGGAAAAATATTGTTATTTTCCTAAAAAATATTTTCCGTGAAACAAACGGAGTCTAAAAGGAAAACGAGTCGAGTTTCAATAACCCGCGAGTAGCCTAACTCGCCTTCATTTTATAATCCACGTGTCATTTTTATTAGTATCTTAAAATAATGGGTTAATTCCAAAAAAAAACACCAACTTTAGGTCAAGGGACAATTTTGGCCCGAATGTTTTTTGTTCCATAAAAAAGTATCAACTTTAGGTCGAGGGACAATTATGGCTTAAACTTTTTGTTGTCCTGTAAAAAAGCACCAACTTTAGGTCGAAGAACAATTCTGGCCCAAACTTTTTTTTGTCCCGTAAAAAAGCACCAACTTTCACTTAAATCCCAAATCTAGCCCTTATTGACTTAAAATAATTAATTTTCCAATTTGACTATTCCACCTTAGCAATAAATCCACGTGACTTGCTGACTGGATTTAAAGCATTATTCATTGTCTTATTCTTTGAACCACAGCTTGAAGAATAACGGTGAAACTGTTCGTCTCCTTCACTTCACCGGCAAGTCAAAAATATCTCCAAATTGAATCTTTCTAGCCAAACTTCGTCGTTTTGTCGTAATCTAAAGTTGTAGACCACCGTCCGTCGACAGACGCTATGGAAGAGATTCGTCAGGCTCACCACCATAACTTTTTTTCTCAAACAAGGGTAACTTTCAGACAGAAGTCAATGGGGGGCCAAATTTGGGATTTAAATGAAAGTTTGTGCTTTTTTACGAGACAAAAAAAAATTCGGGCCAGAATTGTCCATCGACCTAAAGTTGATGCTTTTTTATGGGACAAAAAAAAGTTCGGGCCAGAATTGTCCCTCGACCTAAAGTTGGTGTTTTTTTATTGAACAAAAAAAAGTTTGGGCCAAAATTGTCCCTCGACCAAAAATTGATGCTTTTTTTTGTAATTAACCCTTAAATAATGTATAGTCCTTTTTTTTTAAATGATTTCTTTTAGCTACTATATCTCCTTATGCTTCTTGCATGATTGGCGTCGATGGACATTAATCTCTGCATGGAAGAATAGAAATGGACGACCACCATATGGTTTCGTCGCTTGCTGACCATGACATTGCGGAGTGAGAATCCTCTGCGGCGCGTCGAAAAGAACCCAGAGAATCGATCCATCGATCGATCCCCACAGTCCCACGTGGCGCGATCGCGTCGGACCATCATCACCTAACCGCGGGCGCGACGGCAGGCGGATATTCCCGCACCGTCTTTTCTTCCTCCTTCGCGGAAAGCAGCGCATGCACCATTCTCTCTCTACTACTTTCTCTCTCTCTCTCTCTCTCTCTCTAGCTAGCTTTGCTCGCGAAGAAGATGCAGAGAAGAATGGAGATGGAGTCCCTGGTGAGAACCCTCTTCCGGAAACCCTAATTTCACACGACGCCTTCCTCCCATCCGCCCTTTCCGCTTTCTTGCTTTTCTTGGCATGCCTTTGGGCATTTTCGATCGGCAATGTCGCGAGAAAGAAGCAACTACGTTGTTTTGTTCGCGATTCGCTTCTCTCTGTTCTTGTTTTGGTCGAACGTTGTTTGCGCTTCTTCCAATGGCACCGCGAGCGGCTCTCGCCGGTGTCCGTTTTGACGTGTCGTGCGTGTCGCGCCGCCATTGCTTGTTCTGGTGGCGAGCTTTTTGCCTGGTCCCATTTTTTTCGTTCTTGGCTCCGGAGCAGCTGAGGCAAGATCGGTGGTGTCCGCTTCGTGTAGCGTGATGCGGGAGGCGTGTCTTTTCTTGCTGTGGATGGAGTTGTGGGGCTGTGTGTTTTGGCTGTTTGGTCGAGTAGAGATGAAGAAAGCGATCGAACAGTGACAATTCTTTGACCCCGTGCCAGTTTTTTTATGCGCCCTTTTCTTTCTGGACACAGTTGCTGATGAGAAACACTGTCGCGAGCGGGATTAAATGATGGGTCGATCTTGCATTAGTATTTGCTTGAGCTCTCGCTGATTCCCATTTTCAGTTTCAGGTGTTTTTCGTCTTCATTTTTTTTTGTTTTTGTTTTTGTTTTCTGGTGGGTTTGACGTATGCTTGTTTGAGCCATACTCTGTACACCAATGGTGTAAAGATTCGATAATGTAAGAATTCGACCGCCCCAGCCGAGTGCATCGTTTTGACTGGCTTGCATCTTTCAGTTGTACTCGGACACTCGTGTTTTCTTGCCATTTTCTATTCTCGCGGTATGATTCGATGGACTCTCATGTTGCCGAAGCTAGGTTGCTTTGTAATTGGTGTCCTATGCACGAGTCTACTTGTAAAATGGCGGGGCTATATGTTCAGTGAATTGTTGATTGCGCTGTTGTCTTCTTGAATTTCGTGTTTTTGCAATTTCCTCTTTTTCCCTTGTGATTAAATCTCTCTTATTGCAGGATGATCCTTGTGATATATGTGGTGATGTTGGTTATGCTGAGTTGATGGTAACATGCTCAAGTTGTCCTGCTCGGCAACATATGTACGATCTCTCTCCCTAATTCAATTGCGTTTTGCCGGAAAACCTGGTCTATTGTAAAGTGACATCTCTGAAAAATATAATAATTGGAAATCAAGTTGTTGATATGTCTTAATCATATTCGGACTTACTACTGAAGACAGATTCTTTAATTTTCAGTTAAGTCGGGAGAACCCAATTCAGACATTTAATTATATAAAGACTTAAACATCCCTCATCTGGAATGGTTTCCTGTCCTCTTGTTACTTGTTATAATGTTATCCCATTTTTATTTTCTAAAGGCACAGAATTGTTGATGATGTACTCTTATCAAATTTATTTGCTTCTTCTTTCCACATATTCTCCCAATCACATCTAGCTTGGACATTCTTGCCAATGAGAAATGTTAATCTATTCATTTTGTTTGTTCTCATATTAATCAAGTCCAGTTACTGCGCGGCACAAATTTTTCATGAAGTCCCTGAAGATTGGTATTGTGAAGATTGTCAATCTACTGACCACGCGAATCTGACAATTTCCCATTTGCAAGAAGAATCCATTGCAATGGTCTCATCACCGAGCAGTAGAGAAGCTCCAGATACCGCTTCTCCATCGATAATTAAGAGGCAAGCTTATCCAAAATGGCAAAGAACTGCCAAACCCCGCAAAGTGATGTATCTTCCTACTGAAGAAGTCATCAAATTATCAGCAAGAGAGAGAACGACATCTTCTTGTAGTCATATGTGCCTAAAACCTGCGGCATCTAGTACACGGCGGAATCCATTGAAGTCCAAGGTCTTTGCTTCAAAGTCCCCTGTGAGGGCAAAAGGCAATCAACATTTAATATCTTCAGGTTGCCAACATCCATTAAAAAGTCAAAGCTTGAATATAGGTTCATCAATTAATCGGCAGCATGACATCTCAGTAGCAAAAGAACTGAAAGGTGACGGCCTTATTTTCAAATTACTATGCCAATAATATATGGTAAATTGTTCACCAAATTCAATGTTGGTTAGAATATTCCCCGCTTGAGGAAATGGTATCTTTAGCTTAAATACTTAGGGAGCAGTCCGAAAGGAGAGTGAGGCATCTTAAGTTTTGCTTGGCTTTCACGAATAAGTAATTGCAATCTGTAATATTTTTGTAAGTGCATCTGTGACTTATATGATAACAATTTTAAATTATTGTTGTGTAATATTTCAACCGACTGTCAAGACTGTAGCAGATTGATATAAAGTCGAATGCACAGCCTTTTTCTTAAAAGCTTGAGTTATTAGAGACGATACAGGTTATATATTGTAACTTGACATTTCCATTTATGGGTAATGTTGCCATCATATGCATTATCGATAGCCAGTTGGTGTTTGTTGTCTTGCATATGGAATGATTTACATGCATGGCATCAAGGCAGTCGAGCAGATATTAGCACATCTCGTTTTGGATAAGTATTAAATAAATCATATATGCCAAGTTCCATAATTCATGATGATAAGCTGGCTGAATCAACATCTTCTTTTGTTGCTGTTGAGTTCAGATGTTTCTTTGGCAGCTTCGTCTCTTTTCTCAAAAATTACTTTTGCACTTGATAGATGGGATGAACTCTATTTCAGGGAAGAAGGATCTTGTTCAGCAGCCAGAGAAGGATGTAGGTGAGGAGCAGTCGATGGATATTGATGGACTTTCCTTTGAAGAAGAAGAATCCATTCGGGCAAAGGAAGAATCTATTTCAGACAAGAAGGATCTTGTTCAGCAGCCAGAGAAGCATGTCGGTGAGGAGCAGTCGATGGATATTGATGGACTTTCCTTTGAAAGGGAAGAATCCATTCGGGCAAAGGAAGAATCTATAGAGTCCTTGTCACCCATTTCACCATCCAGATCTTCTCAACCCATTGATAAATCAGGCAAGGAAGCAACAGTGATCTTTTTTTTCTTCAATTACCTTGCCAGATAAGATCCTGATAATTCTCAAGTCTATTTTTTCAACATTAATTATTATGTGTTTCTTATTATAAACTTCTATAATCTGTCGGGTTATCTCCTTCTTTTATACAGAGGTGACTATGTCTGGTTTAGACAATTTTTGTGCTTGCAACCGGATTTCATGATATCACAGGGACGAAAACTTTAAGGATATGTTTTCTTGAGATATTGTGGTGGTCATAACCTAGATGTTGATGGTGGGAATTTTTTAGGTGGACAGTCGAGTTTGTTTATTTTCATTCCTTTTTATGGTAAAAATTGAGAGTTTCTGTTGTTTCTTGTCCTTTGTTCTTTTCACTTGTTAGTTTTATGGTTAAGGCTATGATATTTGTGGTAGATTCAAAGCATAAATTTGATCTTCAATGATACTGTCCAATTGATTCAACAAGTACTTTTTTATATGAAGTAGAGGGATGACTTGTTTTGCTCTTCATCTTTTATTTACTCGATCAAGTTTATGTCCTAGATTTGTTGTTCATTTCTCTCAAGACAGGAATTCTTCTTTTTTCCTCCTTTTTTCATGTAATGATTGTTTTTCTCCAAACATGACCAGCGATTACCGTGTCTTTGATTTATCTCATGTGTGATAACTCGTTACCATCCAGCCAGACATTGCTTTTCTGTTTGAACTTTTGGAGGATTTATCTTCTCTCTATAAACAACAGTTAGTAGATGTCCAGTTGGGGTTTACGTTCATCATGCAAATGCTTTTCTAATTATCATAATCTTGCTATTTTAACTGGGCTATGCCTAGTAGTGTGTTATGTGGAAATATTTCTTTTCTCCAGGGTCCTTGCATTAGATCATTTTGCAGACCATCTATACCAACTTTTCATTCGTGTTGTATAGGAGGCAACAATGATGCTGCAGCAGAATATGGTTATACTTTTGAGGAGACTAGATTCCTGCACTATATTCTACCTAAACTCGAAGTATGTCGGCCTTATCTTCCTGCTCTATCTGCAACATGGAGGTGAGCAATCAATTTTACTTGATTTGTTTAAAATCTGTTTATGTTTGAGGCGTACAATTTGGAGAAACTGTTGTCGATGAATTTGATCGTAGGACTTTAATTGTTGTATTGAGAAAGGCACATCTACTAGGGACAAATGAGGCGAGACAGAAGAGTCATGCCTTTTGAATAGAGGGGTTTGTAAGGTTTGATAAAGATCATGCATGTAATTCTCAGCAGAAAGCAGTGTGAGAAAAACATGCCAAACTCAAGTGGATATGAAGCAATAGCTCAAGTTTATGGAATGGTCGGTTGCATCTTTTAGTGTCGACATTTCTATGCTATTATCTTTGAATAACAAAGTAGGATTTCTACCTCTTGTACTCTTTTCACCAATATGGCAAGCAACTCAGGGGCTCCATGCAGGTGGTGCTAATAGTCCTTCACCAACATGGCAAACTCAGTTTGCACTTGTTTTCTGCACGTCATTGCTTTTTCTGATTCTCCTTTTGCCATTGAAACTTTTTGTGCCTTGCAGATATATTATCTACTGCTACTAGTCTCCCCCTGCATACAATGTCACATGAATACTCATATAGGTGTGAGGAAATATTTTGGGCTGTGCTTGAAACTTATTCTTTGAGCTTAGCGAAAGATCATCCTGTGGATAGATAGGATATTTCTTGGCTGAATGTTGCTAGTGAATTTATAGTCTTGGATCCTGATGAAAGCAAGTGAATTTTTTCAAGGATTATGTATTGAATTAGGTGAATCCTAACATTGAGCATTTTTAAAGTTTGAATTATCTCATATTATGTAACTTGGGCGTTCTCTGTTCTCCACCAGCGGAAGGTTGAAATTTCTGGGTGATGCTATCCCCGATGATAGCAGCTATTTGTTCCGTGCGCATCCTCCATGCAGTGTTCATAGGAAAGCATATGTGCTTTCACTGCATATGCCTTTGGAGATTTGTATGGAGCCGATCCCTCTGACCCATATTTTGACAGACATATTTCAAAATGAAGGTCCTGGTATCGGTGACATTGGTTTGTACTTTTATCCTGCAAATACTGTTGATAGGTTAGTTCAACCTCTTTGTTTATTAAAAAAAACCACTTAATGAATTAGTGCTTGGTATTTTTTAATTGGACATGATCGGCGGTTGATGCCGTAAATATTTATCATAACTTATAGGTACATTGCAAAATATTCTGCCCTTGTTCAACTCATGGTTAGCCAGGAGTATGCAATGAGAGGTGTTATCAATGGTGCGGAGTTGCTGCTATTCACATCAAAAGAATTACACGTGGATTCACATTGTGAGTTCCGGTTTCCTTAGATCCTTCTGCAAATGTGCTGGTTGTTATTTTAATTGGGAATTTCCTCTATTTTTTCTTTTCGGGCATTCTTTTTGGGTGCTCTACTATTGACAGTAATGCAAGAAGAGTTTTTACTTTGACATTCTTGAGAATGGATAATTTTTAGACAAACTGAAGCTGTAGTTTTGGATAATCAGTGCTTGACATTGATGGAAGGTTTATACACAGGCTTTAGTTCCCGAGACTTCCAACTAGATTAGTGTGAAGTTGGAGTTCAGAGGATATATACCTTTCTATTAGAAGGTACATGCAGCTCACTGGTTACTTCACCTCAATAATCTTTACAAGGCTTTGAGATCAGTGAAGCTACTCTAGTTTAGTCGTAGGTTAATTGTAGGTTTTGGCAACTCTTTCCTGTCATTGATTTTTCATTGTGCATGTTTCACCTAGTATGGTTTTTCTTTTACCCCACCCCGTCCATAGAAAGGAATAAAAACTCTTACATGTCTGCTCCTGCAACATTCTAGCCCTTAAGAATGGAGAGAGAGAACATTTACCCGATGCTTCATGCTGGTACAATTTGAAGGGTTGGCTAGATGCACGGGTCTTAAACGTGAGGAATAATTTGTCAGAATGAATGGTGTTGTTGATATAGTATGCGGTAAACCTCTTCCATTCGCTTGTAGCCATTCACGATGCTATCGTAGTATGTGTTTGACATGAATTCCAAGAAGTCTGCCTGATCGACAAGTTCCATCATGGATGAGAGCTGAAGTTCTGCCTAATCAACAGTTACGTCATTCATTCTAGCATATTGCAATCATACAACTTCCCAATGGCCAAATGGCCACTGCATGATCATTAAAATGATAAACGTGCCAGCAGATTTGAGATCCTATTGGAAGCGAGTTAGGTATTCCGCCATACAGACCCTACACAGTGGCAACCTCGTTTTCTTTGTCATAGATCATCCTTTGTTTTGATAGACTTGAATGCGGTCGCTCACAGTATGTGATGCTTCGAATTTTCTCTGATGCGACTTCATGTTTTTTGCTTTTGTAGTGTTTATTGTGGGGTTGCAAAGCGAATACTTCCTGTGGGGAATCTTCCGCAGTGCTAAGAGTACTCTTGATTGTGAAAGTTTGCATGAGGAGCTCAATGTTCATCCACCTCTTTCTGTTGAAGACCACTCAAATAATGGTTATCCCAATAGCAACAAGAGCGGCACAATTGTCAGTATCACTGGAATTGATGACCTCTCAACGAATTTTTTCAAGGGGGGCGGTACAAGCCATGAAGAAGGAACTATAGATGAGATTGCTTTGCCTGGGACAGACTTTCCGGAGAGCTTTCAGGTGAAAGTACTTTGCTGAAACAAAATTCAATTAGTGATTGCTCTCAGAATCATAATGCTTAACTACAGGGATACTCTTCTGGTAGGAACATGCCCGAGATGTGGTCGTGGATCCTGTAACAGCTAATTGTACCAGTTCGCCACTTGTTAAAATCACATGCTGCCCCACATTTATCGTGAAAAGAGAAGATACATGTTCTGAACGGGTATATTCATCCAGTGGAGTGGAAACCCCGAAACAATCAAATCAGCAAGTGAAAGTTGAAGTTGAAGAGATTGCATTAGATAAGCACGACTTCGTTGAAAGGAGTCCGAAACTACTGCCTAAGATAGAGAAACCCAATAAAAAGGTCGGTTTGCTGGAACTTGGCTGTTCGTATAGGAATTGGGTCAAGCTGAATACCAGTGGATTCTCCAGGGGAAACACAGGTTCTGCTGGAGCTGGTGGAACAGTGCACACCTCATCTGGGAATTGGGTTTTGGGTTATAGCCTTAATCTGGGTAAGTGGAGTAGTTTGGTAGCAGACTTGTGGGCTATCTTTCAAGGTTTGAAATTGGTTTGGGACAGAGGGTACAGGCAGGTTCTGGTGGTGTCGGACTCTTGCACGGCATTGGAGTGTTTGAAGACGGCTCCGCAGACAAGCGATCCGAACAGCGATCTTATCCAAAGTTGCAGAGACCTCATGTCACGCGATTGGGATTGCAATGTGGGTCACATAAGCCGAGAAAAGAATGCCGCCGCCGCTTGGTTGGCGGACCATTCAGAACTCTATCCTTGGGGGCTAACTGAATTAGATGACCCACCTCAGGAATTAGCTCATATTTTGAAGAACCAGGACAACGGGATCTCCCCGCCAAGTTGATTGTTTGGCCCCGGGATTGCTTCGGCCGAAGAGCACGAAAAGGAAGCTATTAACCAACAACCTCCCTGACTCCTCTAGGCTTAGGAAATTCTAAAACATCTCACGGCTTCTTGTATAGCCCCTAGGTATTGTATAGCTGGTTTCAGATACTATGAAATTACCAATTGTAAAGATACTGATCATCCCCTGATTCAGTGTAGGCTTTGGAAGTGGCAAACTGTGAAGTTGCTGTCCAAAACCAATTCCGCATCTTTCATGGGCTGTATATGCAATGTTCTGTCCGGGACTGAAATATAGTCGTTGCCGTTAACTCCATACCACTGCAGAACGTTCTATGTCTCATTTCTGTTCGCACTCAGTTCGAGGTGATATATAAAGGTGAAAGCAAAATGCAAATGTTAACTTGGATTCGCGGCCTTTTGTATTGTATTATCAAGGGAAATGATACAGTCCATGAACTTTAATGTGCAACGTGATCTCTGAAATTTTAATTTGTTTAATGCGGTCCCTAAATTTTAACACAATATGTAATGTGGTCCCTGAATTTTTAATTTATTCACTGTCATATCTGAACTTTGGGTACATATTTAATTTAGGCGATGAATTATATGAAAATGTTTAATATAGTTATTCCATTAATTCAAGTTCAGGGACTATATTGAATATGTACCAAAAGTCCAGAGATCACACTGAATAAATTTAAAAGTTTTTGGATCACATTAAATATTAAGCTAAACTTGAAGGGCTATATTCAATAAATTAAAAGTTCAAGGATGAAGTTGCAAAGTTGTGGGACCGTTATATCTGTTGTTCAATGAGTTGAGTCGCTTGGATTACGCGCGTCCGTGGAGCAAGCACCACTATCGTGCTTCATGCTTCACTCTCCCCGCCCGAAACTCATCCCCAGAGCTCGTCTCGCGTTCGCATTGAACTTCACCGATCGCCGCCTCTTCTCTTCGCTCTCCCACGAACGATCTCAACCCAGCTCGCCCTCATCCTCTCCCGCCCGCAATGAACTCCTCGATCTCTTCGATCACCTCCTCCGGCGATGCTGCTCGGCCGAGCAACCAGGACGCGTCCACGCGCGCATTGTCGTCGCCGGCGCTTCCGACTCCGCGTTCTTGGCGGCTCGGCTGGTGTCGGTCTACGCCCGGTTCGGGCTTCTCGGCAATGCCCGCATAGTGTTTGATGAAACGCCGGCGGAGTGCAAGTCAAATTTGCTTCTGTGGAACTCGATCTTGAGAGCTTATACCTCTAATGGGTGTCATGAAGAAGCTTTGGAGCTATATGTTGGGATGAGAAAAGTCGGGGTTTTGGGTGATGGGTTCACTTTTCCTTTGGTGATGAGAGATTGTGCCGAAATGGGTCGCTCAATCTGGTGCAGGAGTGTTCATTGTCACGCTTTGCAAATGGGCTTGCACCATAATTTGCATGTGGTGAATGGATTGATGGGTATGTATGCGAAGCTTGGGCAAATGGGCAGCGCGCTTCAGCTGTTTGATAGAATGAGTGCTAGGAGCTGTATTTCGTGGAACACGATGATCTCGGGCTTTGCATTGAAATTCGACTGTGATGGGGCGCTTGAGATGTTTCGGCGCATGGAGTCTGAAGGAGTGGAGCCAAATGTGGTCACATGGACATCGTTATTGTCGAGTCATGCCAGAAGTGGCCGCGATGCCGAAACTGTGGAGTTATTTGGTTTGATGAGAATGAGAGGAATTGGTCCCAGTGCTGAAGTACTAGCTGTGGTTTTATCTGTTTGTTCTAACATGATTGCACTCCACATGATTAAAGCAATACATGGACTTGTTATAAAAGTTGGTTGCGAAGCTTATTTGATTGTGAAGAATTCATTAGTATGTGCATATGGGAAGCAAAGACAATTAAAAGATGCTAGCCAATTGTTCTTAGAAATGGAATCCAAGAACATAGTCAGTTGGAATGCTCTAATTACATCATATGCAGAGTCTGGATTATGTGACGAGGCTTTTGAAATATTCTCCCAGCTCAAGAAATCCAATGGTTGCTCATTGGTGAGGCCCAATGTGATAAGTTGGAGTGTCATCATCGATGCATTTGCTTCTGCAGGGAGAGGGAGAGAGTCTTTGGAACTCTACAGACAAATGCAGCTTGCCAACATCGTGGGGAATGCTGTAACCATCTCCAGTGTCTTATCAGTTTGTGCAGAGTTGGCGGCACTCAACCTTGGTCGGGAAGTCCACGGCCATGTGGCTCGGGCTTTGTTGAATCATAACCTCCTGGTGGCAAACAGCTTGATCACAATGTACATGAGATGTGGATGCCTTAATGAGGGGAGCCTGGTGTTCAAGAAACTTGTTGCGAAGGACTTGATCTCTTGGAACTCAATGATCGCGGGGTGTGGAATGCACGGTTTAGGAAAAGATGCAGTGAGATATTTCGATGGAATGGTGGAAACTGGAATTAAGCCAGATGAGGTCACTTTTGTTGCTGTTCTCTCTGCTTGTAGTCATGCCGGGCTTGTTGTTGAGGGTCGTAAACTTTATGATCGAATGACTGAAGAGTTTGGAATTGAGCCACAGATGGAACACTATGCATGTCTAGTTGATCTGTTGAGCCGATCTGGTTCCTTGCAGGAAGCTGGAGAGATAGTAAAAGCCATGCCAATGACACCTAATGTTTGTGTTTGGGGAGCTCTTCTTAATGCTTGCAGGATGTATAGAGATACAGATTTTGCGGAGGCAACAGCCTCACACGTTTTCAATCAGAATTGGGAAACTACGGGAAGCTATATGCTTCTCTCTAACATTTATGCTGCAAATGGCCAGTGGGATGATTCTGCAAGACTGCGGATTTCTGCCAAGGAGAAGGGTTTGAAGAAAGTCCCAGGCCAGAGTTGGATTGAGTTGAGTAATAAGTTCTATATGTTTTCGTCCGGGAGGGCCTTGCAGTTGGGTATGGAGGATGTTCATGGTGTTCTTGAAGAATTGACACTTCAAATGGAAACTGAAGACGTAATACCTGCGATATTATTAAAGACAGGTAGCTGAGGATGATTAATTAGTCTCTGTTCGTGGAATTGCTAATTTCTTCACCCATATGGCCAATAGATTATTGGTAATTCTCTGGAGTCTTTACAGATTTAGCTGGAAGATGACAAAAAAGGTTTCAATAACTAAACTCAAAATTCTACTCATCGTTTAGATGCTTCTCATGAGTTGCGGTGATTAGTTTGTGGATAGGTTTCTCTGTACCAGGCTAAATGTGCATGCTGTTTTGGTCACGTGCGATGTCACTGCCATTGACCCTGCAAATCTAATTGAAAGTTTCAGCCTTATTTCTTCTTACTTTTCATTTTTTCCTTTCTCAGAGGCTCTTTAATATACTTATGTTTATCATGATAGATTCTATATTTCTAATCACCTGCAACGCTGATGAAAGGACTGTTGAGCTTATGTAATGTGATCAGATCACCATCTTGCATGAAAAATAGTTGAGACATTCAAGAGTGCCAAGAATCCAGAAAGTTGGAGGGTAATGTGGTCATCTGTCTGCAACTAGTCTGATTGCCATGTTCACTTTTTAGTGAATGAGTTGTGGGAACACTAGTTATGGTTAGTTATAAATTGGGTCAGAGAAGGAATTAGGATGCACCAGAAGGAATCTACTAGAAAAGGAAAAGGGAGACAATAGAAAAAAGAGACGTTCTTGGTGCATGTGAATAGATCGACACAAACAGTTATTCGAGTTATGAGCGATATTGTTAATGTTTCGACCAATGTTGTTTATACTCAGCAGGCACATAGAAGTTGGTTTATACCTGAAGGAGGAAAATTGTGGATTGAGCAGCTCAGAAGTTCAACAAGTACGTGCCTTTAAGTGGAGTAGTTTGGCCGCAGACTTGTGGGCTATTCTTCGAGGTTCAAAGTTGGTTTGGGACAGAGGCCACAGGCAGGTTCTGGTGGCGTCGGATTCTTACACGGCATTGAAGGGTCTGAAGACGGCTTCCGCGGGTGAGCGGATCCTAATGGCCATCTTATCGAAGGTTGCTGAAACCTCATGTCACGCGATTAAGATTGCGCGGTGAGTCACATAAGCCAAGAAAAGAAAGCTGTCGCCACTTGGTTGGCGAACCTTCCAGAAGTTAATTCTTGGGGGCTAACTGAATTAGACGACTCACCTCAGGAATTAGCTCCTAGTTTGAAGAACTAGGACGATTGTAATCTCCCCGCCAAGTTGATTGTTTGGCCCCAGGTTACTTCGGTTGAAGAGCACAAAAGGAAAGTATTAACAACCGACACCTCCCTGACTTCTCTACCCTTTGGAAATATGCGAATATCTCTCAGCTTTTGTATTACTCCAGGTATTGGATAGCTGGTTTCAGTTGTTCAAAAATTGTGCGGCAGTGAAAGTTATGAAATTGTTGTCCAAAACCAATCCTACATCGTTCAGATCTTGTGCCATGTCGGCAACTGAATTATAGTTGCTATGTTTCCTCGTCAATCATCCGGTCGAGACACTTAGCCTCTGCCACCCTGGATTGAATGCGCTACAACGCATGGAGGTGGCGAGAACATAGCAACGGGCGAACTATATTTATGATAACTCAAAAAAGTATTGTCACAGTTAACGTGATGTATATAGCTCTCCTTTAACCATACAGAAAGGCTCATAGTATTGTCACAGTTACAGTCAAAAAGACTAAGACACCGACCAAAAAAGTTTTCAGACACCAACAAGATGAAATACATTTGCTCCTTCGGAGCATTTGATCATTTAGGCCGTGGACTTCAATCAACTAGTCCCGCATGCATATGAGATGATGTCCAGCCTTGAATCAGCATAAAAATAGGATCCCATGCTGCCTTCAAATGCTTATTGCCCTCTTCAATTGAAACAATGAAAAGAACAAAATAATGGGCACCGAAATACAGCCCTGTAAATGCATTGTCCCTAACTTAGGGATGGTTCGATGAAGCAAAACTGAATCGGGTATTTCATCTTCGGTATTTCAGCGAAGCGTGGCCCGTCTCTCCCAAATGCTTATGCAATTTGTTCCTGGTTATCGTAACACGACGGAAAAAATCAATGAAAGGAAGAACAGCAAGGACTAGGAACCGTGCTCTGATCAAATGACCATACAATTTTATTACCTGGAATCAAATTCCTGTCCACAGGTCTCACAAAGATTGTCAGAATTCTTCGCTGATGCCTGCATCAAGATGTGTATCCAACATTAGGCAAAATTACAGCAAGATCCGAAACAAGATAATGGACATCTAACTCCTGGAGTAATGCAACGATATAGAGACAGGAAAGGCAAGACTGAGGGTCAAGGAAGCGGAACACCACTGGTCTATAACTCGAAAAAATTCCAATTGCTTCTCGACCAATAAAATTTGCGACACACAGTCCTTTACGTAGGAAAGAGCAAAAGTAAATATCCATGACTCTTTGAAAGTGAGTAACCTCGACAGCGATGAACAATGGTAACATTCAAATGCCATTGGGGTGGGAAAAGATATGCAGATATGAAATGGCACGTAACTTCAATGAAAGAGCATCAAGCGAAACGACAACATGTTCGCTTACCTTGGATTTCCTCCCTTTAGGTGCATTATTTGATTTAGTGATCGGATCTTTCTTTCCCGTCCTCTTTCTGTCGGAAGACTGGTTTAGAGCTTGATTTTTCGCCACTTCATTGCCTCCTATAGCTTCGCTTTCGTCTTTTTGAGGGAACTTGCAAGCCGAGCCATCCACGACTGCATCATCGTCTCCGTTTGTTCTATCACCACTCTGATCATTAGCTTTGCTATTGCCAGTGTCTGCATCTTCTCCGTTGTTCTTTCTGGACCTCTCTTTCTTAGCCCCTCGATTCTTTCTGGTGCTTTTCCTGCTATCATACTCCATGAATTCTTCTTCGCCGTTTTGTGCATCGACTTTGGAAGATGCTCTAAGCTCCTGCATTGCAGCCATTTTCCTTCTGTTCTTGCGCCCGGACAACATTGCCTCAAGAACACTCATTTCATTGAGTTTGTCATCTTCATCGTCATTGTGAGAAGGTCCTTCCATCTCCTTAGTCCCTACTTCCTTGTTGCTTTCATCAACATCGAAGAACCTTTCTTCCTCGCTCATCTCGCCCCCGTCCTCAATCTGTTCCTTCTCGTCCTCCTTGATTTCCAAATCATCCCTCATCCTCTCTCCTATCTCCTCTGCCCTGTCTTCCTCAACTCCCGTCGCCTCAGCATCCTCGTTCTCCTCCTCCTCCTCCTCCTCATCCTCCTCCTCGACAAATGACTCCTTCAATGCGGCGACCTTCTCCTTATGCTTTTTCGACTTCTCGTGATTCTCCCACTGCTTCTCGCTCTTAAACTTCTTTCCGCATGCGACGCAATAGAGCTCTTTCTCCTCCTTCCTCTCCTCATCTTCCTCTTCCCCCGAAGACCCTCCTTCCTCGTCCGCTTCCTCCTCCTCGGCCCTCGCCCACTCCGGCTCCTCGTACGCCTTCGCCCTCTCCATCCTCTCCCTCTCCAGCCGCTTCTTCCTCGCCCTCTCCTCCTCCCTCCTCTTCTCATTCTCCACATTCCTCTTCACCATCATATCAACCACCCTCTTGTCCCTCTTCTTCACAAACTCCGCCAACCCCCTCACCGTCTCGTTAAACTCCCTCCTCGCCTTCTTCCTGAGCTTCTTGTTCTCCTCCTCCATCACCCTCCTCGACTTCCGGTTCACGCCCGCCGCGGCATCGTACATGTCCGCCCACATGAAATCCATCACCGTGCAGAAACCCAGCCAGTAATTGTAAAACGCCGTCACCTGCGCGTAGGGACTCTCCAGATTGCCCATGAGCGGCGCCTCCCTCACCGAATCGAGCCCCAACCCCATCTTCCTCGCGAAACCGATCTCGTTCGCGTAAATCCTATCGAGCACATCCGCGTACACCTTGTAAAACCCCTTCCCCGAATCGGAATATCCCGAGAACACGGTGTTCGAGAAATACGCGAACAGGTCCGGCACCGGCGAGCTCGCCGCCGAGCCGCCGCCGCGATCGGAGAACAGGATTTGGGAGCGGTGGGAGTCGTACCAGGCGCGCTCCTTGGGATCGGAGAGGACCTCGTAGGCGTGGGCGAGCTCCTGGAACTGAGCGGTGGCGTCCTCCGGAGACAGGCCGCCGGACTGGACGAGCTTGTCCGGGTGGCGCTGGAGGGCGAGCTTCCTGTAGGCGGCGCGGATTTCGTCGGCGGTGCAGTCGCGCGACAGGCCGAGCACCTCGTAGTGGCACCGCTTCTCCGATGCCATCGCCGCCGCCGCCGGTGGCCTCGCTCGTCGGAAATTCGCGAGAGGAATTCTCCGGCGACGGTGCTTTGCTTATCGATTTCTTGGACTAGGGTTTATGGGGATTCAGCAAAGCTTTGTAGAGGATTCAACGGGAATTTGCTCACCGGAAGGAAGAAGCTTCTATCTAATATTTTGCAGCTTCGAATTGCAGGAGGAAAAAGTCCCAATTTTTCTCCTTAATTTTTCAATATAGTCCCCTAACTTTCGGTTTATTCAATTTAGTCCTTCGACTTTCCATGACAGTGTCAAATTAGTCCTTTTGTACTAGGGGTGAGCATGATTCCAGAATAGAGCGGAACCTGAGAACCGGACCGATAGAAACCTGTCCGGTTTCGAATTCTAAGATATACAGGGTAAGTTCCAAGTTCCAAAATTGGGAAACTTATTTTAACGGGTAAGTTCCAGCATTTCAGATTCTAGGTAAGTGGAATCTGGAATCGGGAACAAGTTTTTGTGTTTTTCTTGGTCTATGTATTTGCATGATCTTGCGGTATTCAATGGCGTCCAATAATGAGTGTATAATTTGAAACCACTAGTCCGAACTTTCATTTTATAACTGAGACTTTTACTTTGTTAATATTTCATATTTTTTTATGCTTAAATATATGTTGTGTTCAGTGGATTATATTATTAAATGTTAATCATTAAAAGTGATGATTCACTACAATCGTTCAATAAATAATTAAAGTGGAACCTGGATACACCCTGGAACCAATCTCGGAACTCATGACAGGGTAGGTTTTAATTTTCAAAGTATGCAGGGTAAGTTTCAAGTTCCAAAAAATGGAGAACTCGTACCAACTAGTAGGTTCCAAATTCTATGTGAAACCTATACGAAACTTGGAACCGCTCACCCCTATTTTGCACTATTCACGAGTTTTTATGATCGCACTATTTTTTCGAATTTTACAATATTTTTTCATTTCGATCGTTTTCCTAAATCAATAAAAAAAAATATGCCATCTTTTTATTACATTTTTAGCATTGTGGTCTATCTATATATTACACTAGTTATATTTAAGTAAATTTTAACTTATGATCAGTATAATAGTATAACAATAAATCATTTAAAATTGTATTGGATTGATTTTCCTATTAGTTTTAGTCTAAATATTTTCATAAATATATCTACAAATGATATTAATTTATCTTTATATACTCGTACCTATTTTAATCTAAATCTCAGATAGATAAAATTTTCAATAACCTAGCTCTTGTTCCTAGGATTTTAGATTGATAAAATTTTCAATCTTTTTCGGCTTTGTGTCTTATAAATAATGAGGAACAAGATTTAGATTAATATAAATATGGATATGTATAAATAAATCAATATCATTTCTAGATATACTCATGAAATTTTTAGGCATAAAATAGCATGAATATCAACGCGACACAACTTTAAATGATCTAGTTTTACTATTACGGAAGTTATAAGCTAAAATAAACTTAAATAAAACTATCGTCGTAAGATCAAAAAGGTAAAAAAGTTAATAAAAAGATAGCGTAGTTTTGTTAATTTAGGAAAATGATTGAAAAGAAAAAATATTCTTAGTTATGGCATTGGTATAATTATGAAAACTTTTGAATAGTGTTGAAAGACTTATTTGACTTTGTTGGAAATTTGAGGGACCAAAATCGAACAAATTGAAAGTTTAGGATCAATATTGAACATTTAAGAACAGTTCAAGAACCAAATTAAACAAATTAAAAGTTATAGCGAAAATTTAGAGTCTATTAATATCATTACCCAAATTACAAGGATTCATCATGACTTGGTGCTTCTTTTCTCTCTTTTTCTTTTCTTTCTTCTCATTGAAAAACTATGCACTAACCACCGGACACCGAAGGGGTCATTTTCAATTCTTAGACTCCATTTGTTGTGCGGAAATAAATAATTTGAAAAATATTTTTTTAAAAATAATAGCTTATATCGCTTGAAATAATTAGTTAATGAAAAATATTTTCATTATCAACAACATTTAATGTCTAAACATATTTGTGGACGATGAAAAATATTTTTTGCAAAACAAACCGAGCTATAATTTTCTCCTAAATCCTGTTTTTTCAAAAGCAAAAGGAGAGGCTTTAAGGATTTCAGTGTACAAGATTTGTGGCAAAATGTAGTAAGATCTTGTCTAAAAAGGGATGTTTCATTGCCTCCGTTTTGCTTTGCATCTTTTTATCCAAATGGTAGATCGCCTTCTTGACTTGACGGCGCGCCAAAATTAAGCAGAGTTCTGGCCCAAAGCAAGCCATCCACAATGGAACCCCTGCACATCATACTAGTTCTAGTATATAGGTCCAATCGGCTCATCAACTCTGGATAATTTTCTTACAGAGGAGACACTTTTACAAATGAATCTTTCGCTAAAGAGATTCTAATGGTTTTGCGACATCCCTATGAGAGTATTCAGCTCGGGCAAGCCCTTCGGTCGAAAAAATTTCTCCCTCACTGTTCTTTGCCTCTACGAGGTCTCGCGCGACACTCGAGAAATTCGACCTTCCACCAAAGGTGACAGCGAGGGCGTCGGTCTTTCAGTTTTTCTAGCTCTATCTCCACACTTCGTGGATCTTTAAAAATGGAAGGATATGGTAAAACACAATGCCCCATCTCCACCATGAAAATCAGTATGGGAGATTGAAGATTCATGGTCACTAAGCCACTTCTGGTAAAGACCCAGTTTTGTCTATCGACAGAGTGGAAACTTCTTGGGCGTTATTGTTGTCCAGCTCTTCATTAAAATTGTCTCTCAGAAATTCAACAGCCATAAACATGAGTGCGGCGGCTGGAATGTACCATGTAATCCTTGGCACGCTCCCTCGGAACATTCCCTTTGCACCTTCTACCCGCCATATGGTATGAATTGCATCAAACCAACCATTGTACCTGAGACAAGAAGCTATTAGAACTTCTCTTTCCATTGTGATTCTCAGTTCACTTGATTTAAGGAAAACCATGGAGGACGATTTATCCTTCCAGAACATATGTATGACCTAGGGTACAGAACGAAAAAGATGAAGCTCTTAACCATGCAATGGAATTACTGGAACGACTTTTTTTGTCACAATTACAATGAAACATTGGCAAGCTCTATTTTTCTGGCAATATGCCTCATCGTTCTCCCCAGCACATTGCATGAAATTGCCACCCCTCTTGTAACCACATGGCAATCGACACTGAACAATATTAACTAGTAACATCATTGAATAACACTTCAGACTATGGAGATCAACAGATGTCACGTAATGGAAACTCCAAAGATATAACACAACTAGCTATGGGGCACAGATCAGAAGTCGTTGATCTGTGCACTCAAGCAAGAACATTCAACTAATTCAGAGGCCCCAATAATAGTGCTAGCCAGTGGGTAAGAGAGACAGGATGGGGAAGAGGCAAATTCTCTTAAAAGCTTTGAAAGAGTGATGAAACATCTACAGTACGGTCTTTGCACCAATACGAAGCCATGCTTCTCTAAACTAAATAGCATCAGGTTACCTCGTCGCTGATCCTTGCACTTGCAACCTCGTCTTGACGACATCCAAAGGAGTAGTAAGATAAGCACTAAAACCTGAATGTATTAAAGAGCCTTAAATTGATCTTATGATGCACAAAGATCACAGTAATAATAAAAATCTAATAAAACACAATAATGCATGAGCATGGACATACCACCAGCTAATCCACCTAATATAAATCCTTCCACTGAACTGCTAAGATGGAGATTTGATTCTGATACCCACATCTGCTTGCCATACTCCGTCATCTCTTTAAGTGCTTCATAAAACATGACCTGCAAAGATGTAAATTAGTAACTGGATGACACACCAAACAATTCAGGGTGCTTAATTATCTTCATGTGCAGTAGAGGGAGCACTAAAGCAGATACGACGGCAAGATAGCATGGACAAAGTAGATAGGGCAATTGAAAAGAGACATCATTTATTTTATTAACTTACCAGAAGACCGGCAAGTGGAACATCCCTAGCAAGTGTGGACCAGTATCTGCGAAAGAAAAGAAAAGAAAAGGGAGTGATTCTCAGTATTGCAATGGCTAGAAATGACAAGGATATACAGAAAAAAGACCTGATAATTGTGAACATTTCACTTATAAGCGATTCTCGGCATTGAAATGTTTCTACCAAGAAAAGAGGGGTGAGCTCTCTCTCTCTCTCTCTCTCTCTCTCTCTCTCTCTCTCTCTCTCTCTCTCTCTCTCTCTCTCTCTCTCTCTACTTTAATTGTCTACAGACGAAATCTAACAAATGTATACAGTCCATAAGAACGTAGGAAGTTTGACTGTAATAGTTACCCCGCATAAAGTCCCCTCAATCCCTGCTCCTTCCATATTGAAAAGGCAGCCTGAAACATTCCATTATAATAGCCATACATAGGGGCATTAGATTTCAAGGTAACTCTATCTTTCTGGACCACTGATCTCCATGACGATTTGGTGCCTTGGACCTGCATACGCTGCTTCATCACTTCACAAGGAACGTATACAAAAGAACCCAGGGTATCTCCTGAAATTCAAAGAGTTTGATTGGAGTATTGAGCCCTCAGAGGTATGACAGTCATTGATCAAACCAATTGAAATCCAGAGGGTTTCCCCTATTTTTCATGCATCATGCATTGGTTGCATAAATTGGAAATCATACGTATAAGACATTTACATCCAAAGGGGAGAAATCAAATGAGAGATGCACATTGCTTGGTTAAGCAGAAAGGTTATAGGAGTCCAGCATAGTATACCAAATGCCCCAGCAAAAAAATGAGACCAGTGCCCCCCAAGATCAGGATTTGATTCTTCAATCCACTTCTTGGTGGATTCTATGAAACCAAAATACGTTGCTCCAGTTGCAATTGATCCAGTAACTCCAGGTGCTATACCTCTATAAAACCCTACAGTGAATAAGTACACACCATGAGCAATGCAGCAAGAGTAATGATGAAAGGTACTAAAAAACACAACAAGAAAGTTGTACCCCTTAATCCGTCTGCAGACCACACTGTACGGACCATCTGTAGTACACTCTTTTGATTCTGATAAAAATTGCATCCACATGTATCCATGTAGTACAAATAATTCATTGGCAAGCAAAGCAGGGAGAGCCAAGTGAGACACTCAAGAACAACTCAGGTACGCTTCTTTTTTCAACCATGTCACACTGGGTTTAGGCGACGCCGCAGCATTAAGTAATACACACAACAAAATGCCGACACGATAATTTGTGTTTGTACCTGACTCCCACTGAGAATCGCCTGACTTTGAATCCGTGTCTTGACCGTATCAACAGGGTGCATCATTCCTTCGCCAAAAGCCCCAGCAACAGCACCCCACAAGAACTCCCTCCATACTGCACCCAAAAATGAAGATCAACCTCCATAAAATTCATAAGTTCACAGAAGAAGCATGCGGAGAACTAACAGAGGCCTCAATAACTTTTCCCCAACAGAGACAACGAAAATTGATGATCAATTATCCAGATACGGGGGCCTGCCAAATTAATTTACCTATGAAACTAATCAAATTTTCATGCTTCCAAGTGTAGATAAACTACGATCCACACACACGGATGAACTCGGTCGCGACAACACCTGATTAAGACGGAGCGGGAAACCGACATATGCTACATCCCGAATTAAACAAACCTAAACCCCGTCTCGCTCCACTCAGTAAGAAAAAGCAATAACGAACAGTTTCAGCCCAGCTCGTGCCGATCAACGACTCCAAACAGAACAACATTCCCATCGAACTCGCGAGCCGCCGCCGCCGCGAGGAGGAATTCCACGACATCGAAGCCTCAGTTCATCTAGACCAAATCACGAGGCACGAAACATCTAACGGTGATGAACAAGCAAGCACGCAGGGAGTTGACGATCGGAATAACGGGCTCACCGAAGAACTGGTGGTGATGATTCGCGGCGGCCGAACGCGGAGCCGCGCGCGGCATTCCGTCGGGACTCGAGCGGCGATCCGCCATTGACGTCGCGGGAGCTTCTCTGCAACTCCTAGGGTTCCTGAGGGTTTAAGCCTTTGCTTTCCGCCACTTTTGGTCTTCGGGGGTTTTAAGGTTTTAACGCTGCGGCGCGAGCTGAGGGCCGTCTTCCCAGTTTGCGGGCGAAAACGACGTGCCGTTGACCCCCGGGGTTGGTAAAACGCAAGGAGCGCACCGTCGTTTTTTTTTTCGCGTCTTCGGGGATCGAAAACGACGGCTGATGTGGGCTGGGCTGGAATAGCTAGACTATAAAGCCTCCTCTCCAAAGCCCATTGCTAAAGCCCATTTTAAATAGATTGGTGCAAATTTTTTTTTTTAAAATTGAAAGAGTCTCGAATATGGAAGTTTGGCTTAAGTAGATAGACTAGGGAATTAGCAATTACTTTATTTAACCTTGTGGGATTACGTAAGGCATGAGTCGAATTCGGATAGTGAAATAGAATATAACGCAATTAATCGAGGCAAATTAAAGCGTGTCGACTAATTAAGAAATCGATGTGAAAATACTTTTTTTTTTGTCTTTTACACTGTCCATAACGACGCTGCAAAAATCTCTTCGGGATTTGAGGACTGCAAAGAGCACACTGCTGTGGCTTTATTTTAATAAGATTGAATTAGAGGTACGTCAATGAGAAAACAAGAAAAAAAAATTCTCGGCAATAAATTTTCTGCACAGCGATTCAATAGCCATAAAATAAGAAAATAATATACTCACGGTAAGTTTTTCGCGAAACAAACGAGACCTAAAATAGTGCTCTTTTTCGAAGAACCAGAAAAGAATCGGCTATTTATCAATCAAATCTCGAACCGATCTAAAATGACCGAGGCCTTTTTGATAACCTAATTGAGTGCTGAGAACAAAAAATTCAGCACTTAGTGAGATTGAACTTATTTGATGATTCTAAATAGAATTTACTTAAATTATTCAATTAATTCAAAAGTCCATTTCATTTGGTAAACAGAGAGAGGGGTTACATAGGGCTGCCTGGCAACACTGAAAATTAAGTGTTGAAAATTCAAATACAGAATTTTAAGTGTTGATAATCTTTAGTGCTGAAAATAGAGTTAAAAAAGTTATTCGACGATAATAAAAATTGATACTGATTAATATTAATCTATTACAATAAAGAGAATAAAGATCAATATTGGTAGGTTTTATCAATTTAGCAAAATTCTAATTACATAAATTAATTTTCTATCGAACAAATTAAGTAACCTCTCATTCACTTACCATATTAAGGATTGACTTGATTGAATAATTTAAGTCGGTTCAATTTAAAATTATCAAACAAGTTTAATCTTACTGACACTAAATTTTTAAGCAATTGATTGAGTTATTGAACAGGCCCTCTAATTCGTTCAACACGTGTATGATTTATAATAATTAAAATATTACACAATATACATCAAAATAGATTAATAATATATCAGCTATCGATTTTTAATTATCAAATAACTTTTTAATTCTATTTTCGCACTTAAGATTATCGCCAATTAAAAATGGAATACTGACATAAATGATCCCTGAAGTTTGGCCTTATATGCAATGTACTCCCTGAGCTACAAAAAGTTCAGGGACCATATTAAATAAATTAAAAATTTATGGATCACATTATACGTTTGGGTAAAGTTCAAGAACCACATTAAACAAATCAAAAGTTTATGAACCACATCGTACATTAGGCCAAAGTTCAGAGACGCCAATGGGGACACTAATATCACGAGTGTGAGGTTCGACTCCCGCGCTTTGCAAGAGATAAAATAAAAAGTCAGATAGTGAGGAGAGTTAGATATGGGACAAATCAAAATAAATAAATAAAAAAGTTCGGAGACTATAATTAATTAAAGGAAAAATTTCAAATAAAGGTCTGAAGTGCCATTATTTTTTCAAATAAGAGCATGAAGTGAATAGTGTCTCAAATAATGACTTGAAGTAACCAAATCATCTCAAATAAGGACCTTTGGGCGATCGGTGATTATTGCGTCGTCGGAGAAGGGGTATTTTAGTAAAAAAATTATAAGTGTATATATTTTTATTTGTTACTTTCTTTTTCTTTTTCCTTTTTCCTTTTTTCTTCTTCCCTCCCCAGCCATCATTGCGCTTGGCCGGCGACCTCCACCGGCCTCAGGCAAGGGTGGCCCTCGCCCGACGTCGACGAGGGGTGGCCTTTGCCGGCTCTGGTGATGGCCGGTGGAAGTTAAATCCTTATTTGAAACTGATATAGCCACTTCATGTCCTTATTTAAAACAAGATCTATTTCAGGCCTTTATTTGAGAAAATGAGTACACTTCAGGCCCTAATTTGAGACAAGATCTACTTCATGCCCTTATTCGAGAAAATGGAGGCACTTCGGGTCATTACTTGAAATTTTCCCTTAATTAAAAATTAATACTTAAGTATTACCAATTCCGTGCTTTTTCATGACTCGGACTCGCACTTGATCCGCACAGACTCACTCGTGCGAAGCCGAAACGGCGTCGCATTCCCTCCTCGACTCGGCCGAGCCGAGCCGAGCCGAGCCGAGCCGAGCACGAAGCACAAACCGAAGCTCGCTCTACAGACGAGAAGCAACGAAAGAGGAGAGAACATTTCAGGCTTGTGTCACTCGGATCTTACCCGCAGGCTGCAGAAGGACGCGAGCTTCCTAGGGTTTTCGAAATCTCGCCCCCCCACCACTTCCTGAATCCAAAGATCGACGATGGCGATGGCCGCTCTCCGCCGCGAAGGGAGGCGATTCGCCGCCCCTCTCCTCTCCCCCCGCCCCATCGCCGCCGCCGCCGCCGCCGCCCCCCGCCGGCCCTCCCTCTTGCCCGAGTAAAGAAGCGCGCTTTCCTCCCTCCTCCATTTCTAATTCCCCGCATTAGCGAGCTGTTCGGTGTTTCCGTGTGCGTGCGTAGTTCTGTCCGGCGTGCGTTCGATAGCGATTCGATTCGCGGTTGCGTTTTGCGATGAGGTTAGGGTAGAGGGTAGCTGCCGGGATTCCCCGATTTCAACATGCGACCGGCGTGAGAAAATGGGTTCTTGTCTCGAGTCCTTTGCCGAGCCTTGATTCGTGATGTTAGCTCCGAATGTTCCTCTCCTGGTCCTCGTTTAGCGAGTTGCTTTTACCAGAAACGGTGGAGATTTTGGGTGCCGAAAGATTTGAGGAACTTTTGATTTTCATTTGTTTTGCGGTGCATACTGCGTGTCGGTTTCTTCCTGGTTAAACATGAAATGGTCGAGTTTGTTATTGTTACCCAGAGTTTCTTGTCGATTGCTTTATGATGCCGAGCATCGACCATTTCGAGAAAGATTGTGCGAATTTAGTTTGTTGTCTGAAGAATGTGGCAACCAAGCAAGCAAATTTTCGATCAGCAGTTAAAGTACGAGCTTCGTGGACGAGCCGTCATCACGTACATTGAGCGTGAACTGTACAGTCCGATGAAGTTTGTTTTCTCATTTGTTTTTTTTAGCTCTTTTCGCTCTCAGAGCATTTATTTGCGCAGTTACATCATCACTATTTTTCTTCTGCTCAACCAAGTTTACTGATTGATGCTCCCCCATTTTATTGGATTTGTTTAGTAGTAGCAGATGACCATGCTAGGAAAATTCCTTTGATCATAGTGCATTATCCAACTTCAGTTAAATAGTGTCTGATATGTAGGGCAAAACCACGCATCATAATCCAAAGGACTAGTTTTCCCTATTGACTTGCAGCTATGTTAAGTATACCTGAATTGGAAACTACATTGGTTCTTCCTGCATCTGTCTTTGCAAAGGAAAGACTGTATAATGTGGTCTCTTGATTACGGTTTTTGCGTGGCCGATAATTACATAGAGCTTTTTCTTAAGTTGCGTAGCTTATTGAACTGTATTGGGTTGGCAGGGAAGAGGTTCCTTTTGGGGTTCGTTCTATTTCAACTCAAGTGGGTAAGAGTCATCTTCTCTTGATTTCTCATGAATTCATCTTTTGATGCTTTCTTGTTAAGGTTTCATTTCAGTGAGCTGAAAATCGATCAGTTCTATATGTCGAAATACCTGATCCTGTGTTTTTTCTCTATGCAGTAAGGAACAGGATGAAGAGTGTGAAGAATATTCAGAAGATCACCAAGGCTATGAAGATGGTTGCAGCCTCAAAGCTACGAGCAATTCAAACTAGAGCTGAAAATTCCCGTGGCCTGTGGCAGCCATTCATTGCTCTTCTTGGTGACACGCCCAGTATGTTCATTTACAAACAATTACTTCTTACATCTGCCTTTGGTATAAGTATATTGGGGTGGCTACTGAATGTGATACCCTGCTGGAAGTGCATGGTTTGAAATTGATGCTTGCCGATGACATCAACCTGAATGAGTGGCTCGAGAAATGCGAGTTTAGACAACCTTTTCAACTGAAAATTGGAAAGTTCATCATTTTTTTTTTGCTGAGGTACCTTGGAACGTGTCATTTTTTTCTGATGTTGTTGGTTCTTGGCTTATATTATTACTTCGAACAGGGATCTCTCTAAATTGACGTTGAGCAATATGACTCTACATAAAAGAGAAGAGTGGCAAAACTCAGAGTGCATGATAGAAAGAAAAGCTGTAGGTTATTGAGATTATTTTGGACCAAGATTTTCGCAAAAATAAAAGTAAGAGGGAGGAATGTTGGTGTATAAAGTTCAAAGTTTTTCTTATCCCAAGTATTTTTGTAATTTTTTTTCTGCTGGCCTGTCTCCTTTTGCTTTAACTTCCTCATCCTGTCTGTTATATGAAAGATGGTGGAACTAGGAAGCTTCATAAACCAGTGATTGTAGAGTAAGAAATTGTTGCGCTGAAGTCAGTTGTTGGTAAAAGCGATTTTGTTTCAGGACAAACAATAATTCGATGCAGCTGAGAGTTTTACTACGTTTATATGCCTAAAGATTAATAACCACCCTCCTAAAGCAATCAAATCAAGAACAAAAAAAAATAAAAATACATAGAGCTTGTGCAAACACAGAAAAGTCAAAAACTAAAGCAATGAAACATTTGAGCTAAAAAGAAGAATATATTTGAATGCAAAGACTGGTAGTGACATTTAGAATTGCTTAGAGATGAAACGAAAGAATTTCATGTTTTCATGAAGTTAAAATAGCAGGATATGGCTATCACCTTGAAAAGAGGAGCCTTTTTGGGGCCTGGAGTATGTTTGATAATTCATTCATCTCTCTCTCTCCCTGATGTATAATTATTCGGTATGGAATTACAGGCATTGATGTCAAGAAGAATGTTATAGTCACTGTTTCTTCAGACAAAGGGCTGTGCGGTGGGATTAATTCCACTTCAGTAAGGGTAAGCAAGGGTTTACACAAGTTGAACTCAGGTACAGTTTGTAAGTAGTTGATGGTGATGTCTTATATTGGTCTAAAAGATTAGCGAGAATGCTTTTTACCAGTTACATAATTTAAAATGCTGCAGGGCCTGAAAAAGAACCAAAGTATGTAGTCCTGGGGGAAAAAGCAAAGGTTCAATTGATTCGTGACTCGCGAAAGGACATACACTTGACCATATCGGAGCTACCAAAAATTCCTCTGAACTATACTCAGGTTGTTTACTGTGTTTTTAGGAATTTCTATAGATAGCTTGTACCAGTTGAGTTTACTTAGTTGTATGCATTCATGATATCAGGCTTTTGAGTTTTAGATTTTGTATTTCTGCTCTTCACCCCCCCCCCCCCCCCCACCCCACCGGCAAACAAAAGGAAAAAAAACACACTGAAAGAAGTATAACATCAGATGGTACTTTTTCTTTTTGTCGCACCACTGAGTTGCTGGATACTCTTTTTTGATTGGAAAAAAATTGCATGTCCATCTAATTTTAGGTCTTGCAAAGTCAATTGATATTCTGGTTGATCAGAGGATCCATTAAATCAGATGGTAAATTCTTTTTGTTTTTGATTGCGACAGTCTACTCAAGGAGTAAATTTTTGTCCAAAAGTCATTTATCAGATCCCTTCGGGGCCCTTCCTCATGCTTCGCATTGGTTTTCCCTGTCAGGTTTCTGTGCTGGCTGATGACATCATAAAGAACGTTGAGTTCGATGCTTTAAAAATTGTCTTCAACAAGTTTCATTCCGTTGTCTCATTTTTACCAACAGTGTCGACTGTGCTATCACCTGAGGTGACAACAATTCTTTACCTTCGCTCAAGTCTGGTTTTTATCTTTTGTTGCTCCTGGATATCATACTTGATGAGTGGTTGCATAGGTTGTTGAAAGGGAGGTGGAATCTGGTTCGGGTAAGCTTGGAGAACTAGACTCCTATGAGATTGAAGGTAGTTCAACGAGGGGAGAAACACTTCAGAATCTGGCAGAATTCCAGTTTTCTTGTGTAAGTACCACAATTTTTAGATTATAGTTAGTATTTGCAACTAGGTCTTGTTGTTTTTGGCTCTACTAGGTGGATGGTTGTTATTAGGCAATGCAAAGATAAACCTTTAAAGTTATGTTGATTCTACCTGTTTGCACTTTGCACTATTCATAACTTTTTCTCATCTGTTTGTAGAAACAGATTTAACATATTACTTGCTTGTGAGTTATTTGTGATTGGACCAATAAGTTTTATGTATTTACAAAGACTTTCTGAAGTAATTTTATCCTTTCCTGAGTTTCCTGCAAGAAAAACTTTTGAATCAAAGTAGCGACAAGCCGAGAAGTACGATCACGACTACAGGGGAATATATCATTGGCAAGGTTTATTTTGTAAGAATAATGTAGCTAAGCAGGATGTGGGAGTTGATGGAGTGACTACAGGCCTTCTCCCTAGTCCTGCCTTTGGCATTTTCTACTTGAGTTCTGATGATTGTTGCTGGTCGATTCCAGGGTTATGCATTATAAGTTTCTTCCCTTCCATTTCTGTTATTAACAAGATGCACTCTTCCCACAGGTCTTGTTTAATGCCGTATTGGAGAACGCTTGCAGTGAGATGGGTGCTAGGATGTCTGCCATGGACAGCTCAAGCAGAAATGCTGGTGATGTGCTTGACCGCCTCACTCTCACTTATAACAGGTCTCTCTCTCTCTCTCTCTCTCTCTCTGTATGCACATGATGGTGAATATGAGGCCATTTATCAGAAGCGATCTTCCATGGATGCTTGTATATGGGAGACCATTAGTGTTAGAACCTTTTGTCATCTTCCTGTTGTCTTTGCAGCTAATGGGTGGGAAGACTGAAAAATATTTAGAAAATAACTTAAATATCCCTCTATTTTCTATCCAAAAAAGGAAGATAGAAAGAGAAGGATGTAAAACTGAATAATCATCAACTATTTCGTTGTGGTGACTGATTGTTTGTAATGTTTCCTTGATTGTCAGAACCCGTCAAGCTTCTATCACCACAGAGTTGATTGAGATTATATCTGGAGCATCGGCACTGGAGGGCTAATTGCGGAAAAGTATTTCCAGCTTGTTTGACGGCGACGAAATAAGATTAAGGCTGGCTTTGTTTAAACTTGTGTTACTGTTCCTTGTTGAGGATTTCTGAGAAGGACCGCAATAATTCCCAGTGCCAGAAGTTAAATTCTGTGGAGCACAAAGCAATTTTCTTCCCTGGTTTTACCTACTCCTGGAATTTCTTCTTCATTCCTAGTTTGGATGTTGACCGTTGGCTGTTAATTTACTGGTGGATGTTTTGCAACAGAAACCGCTTGGTACCGATTGCTTGTTCTTCGTCAGAGTGTAAATGGTGCTTAATTTAGCATCGACCCGTGCTCGATTTAAGGCGAGCTTCTCCATTGTGTGGTTCTTTTGAATAAAATTGTCTCCCAAATTTCTGCTTTAGACTGCGGACCCTTGAACGGAGAGTGCTCGACTAAATCCTCTTGCTCCTTGAAATGTTAGGCTGCAATCATTCAGTATCTCTATTTTTCTATTCCTGGGAATAGGTTTGAAATAAAAATTCGTTTGGTAAAGCAATTCATCCCTAGAATAGAAATAGAAATATCTATTTTTAGTCAGAAATCGATTTCTGAAACAGAATGGTTTTCATTTTCGCCTTTAGTTTCTCAGGCAAATGATCAAATCTCACATTTCAGCTGAAACTAGCAAATTGATGGGTTTTCACCCGGACGGCCTAGTAAATGAAGAACTGGATCAATAACTGGAGGAGCTCTTCATGTTTATTTTGATTGCGGTCATCAAGCCGTGAAATTGTCGTGCTTGTGATGTCCTAGCACAAAGCTTCGCATACATGGTCTCAATAGCGGCAGGATCGGCACGGCACCGAATTTGAGCACGTCCACCGGCCATATGTTGGTCCGCCTTGACCTTTGGAGAAAGATTAAACAGAGGTATTTCCATTCAAGCTGTGGTCTTCTGTACATGCTTTCTCAACAGCACTATTTTAAGTCAAAAGCAATAAGGTATTGTCAGGAATTGAATTTCTCTCCTGTAATGCACAGGTAAACCCACTTCTCATCAGTTCTGGCCAACAAACCAAAACCTTATTCTTAGCTATTCCCCCTTCTTCTTCTTGTGAAGTAGGAATAACCAAACCCCCAAGATTCCTTAACTCGTGACAAAAGAGAGAGAGAGTAAGCCTAGTTAATAATGCTCCTTATGGAACACAAATCTTGTGATGGTTTTGGTGGAGAATTTGGTGCACAGCTCCTCCAACTCTCTTGCTAATCCTGAAGGACCACAGTAGAACACCCCTGCCAAACGCAAGCCAAGAGATTCAGATAACGCGATCGAGGAGAAACCAATATATCGGCAAGAGCGCGCTTTCTGAGATTTAACTAATTCGTTTCACCCCGGTCACGTCGCAAATTAATTGCGAATGGTTTATATCAACAAATGGCACTAGAGTTTGATTAGGACCGCATAAATTGTATGCTGTTGATTGCGGTCGAGTAGAAAGATCACAGCAGCATGCCAAAGGTAAATGATAAGATGAACTGAAGTTATGGGTTTTGCCGAAGTCTCACCAATCTGTGAACCGCCGTGCCTTCGGGACAACTTCGAGAAAATGCTGGACCAATTTGGTCTGGCGAAATGGGTATGCACCTGCAAATGCCATTAGTAAGTTAGATCGAGTCCCTCTCTGCCGATCCCGTGGCAAGACAGGTTTTCCATGAATCCACACGAGTCGTTGGACTGAATCTAAATGATTTCGTCATAATCATCTACGGGAAGAAATTTGCAGGGACAGCAAGAAGATTTGCGTCATGACTGCGTGCCGAGTGCATTTTTAATGGGAAGACTGTACTTTAAGACAGATGCAAACACAATCATGTAGCATGATGAAGACCAAAGACGAAGCACCGGAGGAGACAGCTAAAAAGTTCATGACAATAATCGTCACTCGGGCTTCTAGCTGCCGGACTTCGTATCTTTTTTATCATGAAAAAGACTATCGTAGAGTTTTATGGACAAGCTAGCGTCACCGGCAATGGAAGCTATTGCTACGCAGAAATTCGATGCGGAGATGTGGAGTATGATCGAACAACTAACCGGGGTCTGAGAGATGAAGTCGACACCACTCTTGGCATGAGACAGAGCTTGAATGGCGCTTAGTAACACCGACCGCGCGTCTTCCTCCTTGTACATCGAGGTCAGGAAGTTGTGCATCTCCATAATTGACTGAGAAGGAAGAACCAATTTGGTTTAACAACACGCAGGATCAAATCAATGCCTATAAAGACTCGTGTCAACTTCATTTTCTTGAAGACATACAGGTACAGGTTTTGCTTTCTGACAGAAGAATCAATCAGTACCTCTTTCCGGTTGGTCTTTGGTATCTGCTTGATAAAGTCCCTGAACCAAGTAAAGGAGCTCTGATCCCTCGTAACCCAGTAGAGATAGGCTTTCGACGGACCCTTCGGAATGCTAACTATTCCGCTATCGACCTAGTAAATTGATCATTTACCTCGTGTCAGCACGAGATGAAAAATAAATAGCAAATTGTATAGCTTACTCAACATGGCAAGCGAAGTGCAGCCGAGAAACTTACATGATCGCAACCGATGACATCCTTAAGAATGCTGATAAACGGCGTGGCTCCTATTCCAATGCCTATTAGGACCACGACGTCGTACTTGGCATAGTCCTGACAGGCTGCACCGTAAGGCCCATCGATGTATATCTTGGGATAGCTATCTAATCTTGCCGCAATTGCCTGCATAAAAAACGACGGAGATTCAGATTCCCGTTTTGAGAGGGAGATCGATTCATGTCCCTTTTGTACCTTACCTCTTGGAAGAGACTGTACAATTGATAACTCCAGTCTCCAAGTGTCCTAACATGCACACTCAAGTGAGCATCATCTGGTCCAGAAGTTAATGAAAACGGGTGCCTGGAAATCAACATAGAACGAAAGCACAGTCGGTCTAAACAGGCAAAAGAACAATGAGAGCTTGCGGCCATTTTATAGCAGTCACGGTTCGAAAGGGATGACGACCGGTTGAAAAGAAAGAAGACATCGATCAGGATATGCTGCCGTATACCATTCAAAGGGTGATATTCGCGGGCATTGAATGTATATATACATTCCGCTCCTGTACTCGAAACCTTCAGGCTTGCGAAATGTCAGGGACAAAACCTTTCCCGGATATACATTTGCCTACGTGAGAAAATACGGCAGGTTAGTGTTTACATGGTCAGAACAGATTTCACGGGAAAACATATTCGATGAGAGTCGGCTGGCCACCGGATATTCCAGATTCATAGCTTTCTGGTGACCGGCCGAACATGATTTCCATCTGATTTACACAAGTCTGGAAAACCATTTTCGGAGCATAGTAAACGACTCGGCATACCTTCAGAATCTCCACCTCGTAAAATGCCGATCTAACAGCCCGGAAGATCCTCTCTCCCATGTACAGCAGCACGGGAAAGGCGATATACATCCATGTCTACACAACCGGAACGGTGTTATGCACAAATCAGGGACAATATTAGAGAAGGAATACATTCTCATCGAATTGAATCTCAGCATTACGAATTATATAGCGAGAAAATTGCAGTTCTCCCAATTTCATGTAGTTATTATGGGAATTGTGATGCATGGTTAAGAACTGCTTCTGATTTCCAAACAAGAACCCCAATGAAGTTGTGAAAAATCCATACATTTGTCGAGACAATGATATCGGATCGGCGCTATTCCGTACAAACCAAAAGTTCTGGCGACTTACCGTCTTTTCTATTAGGTTGCTGGTAAGGAAGAGGAACATGGAGTGCACAATCAGCAACGCATACACGAAGATGAAGAGGTGGTGCGAGTACCAAAACGCATTGTACCCCGTGACCTGCCGGACCGACCGGGGCAGCGGCGGGGCCTGGCGCCGCGGCCACCTCGTTGCGAGGGAGAAGGCGATTGCCATAAGGACCACCATTGCAATTCCCGTTGCCCCCTCCGTCGTGGCCAGGATCTGGATGTATGACGGCTGATGGTAGCCGAACCTCGCGGCAATTGTCTGGCGGAAGATCGAGTGATCCGAGCTGCTGATCCGAGGGAAGTCGCATGCAAGGTGGGTGCCGCCATGGAGGATCACCCCGATCACGATCCCGGCTGCGATCAACTGTCACGGAGAAATGAATCCAGGGTGTTTACAGTTGCATTAGGCAGGAAATGTCCGTTGCTTGACACTATGAAAATTAACCCATTTTCGAAATTCCCAGCCGAAATTTGGTTTACGTTTGAAGGCATCATACATGCCACTAGTATATGATGCTAGAAAGTTAATAATAGTTCAAGAATCACCATGCACTCTCATCTACCTTGTGAAAGTTGATGTTATCATTGAAGGGGACAATCGAGCTGACCCGATGGCTGGCGCGGAGCCACGTGACGGTGTTCCGGCAGACGGGGAGGAGAATCACGGCCATGTTGAACTTGAGGGTCTCGGCGGCCCCTTTCGCGGTGCAGAGGCAGTAACCCATGACCTCGAACGCCATCCTATGCCTGTACTGAATGAACTTCCACGTGAACAATGCCATGCAAATCGCCAACCAGAGGGCCACGATCCACGCCCGCCGCCAGTACGTCCGGAACAAGACCTCGGGCCTCGACATGGGCTGTCGGACCGCCCCATTCGAATCGCAGCCCCCGCGATGGCACAGCCTCGGCGACAGGGCGGTGGCGAAGGAGTCCTTCGACAAGCCAAACTTGAGTAGCGTTTCCACTTGAGATATCTGTACAGTGAATATGACATGACAGTAGTTAGGCATGTAAAGTAACTGGTAGAGCATTGCTGGTGAGCTTGTTACTATTTCACTCTTTCTTGATGTCTAAGCTTAAACATGGAGATGGATGAGATGGGGAAGAAGGGTATTCACCTCTATGAAACGACCTCGATTTCCAGAGTCGACGGCGTCCATGATCAGAGCAGCGTACTCGTCCGCTTCCTCGCCGGTCAAGCACAACTTGTTCGCGGAAGCGCTCAACAAGATCACCTGCCCAAGTTAAAGTTTGAAATCTGAGAAAGATCAAGCACGCAATCCTTTAATTTCCGCGAAACAAACGCACCTGCTTAATGTCGCACCGGCTAATCACCCCGTCCATATTTCTATCGCACCTGCACGATATAATTCAGGAAAAGAAAAAATGGGGAATTCAAGACGCTCCGCAAAATCGGGTATTTTCCATAATCGAAATACGTAGAACAATTGATTAAATTAATTACAAGTCGAAGAAGATCTGGATTTTGGAATCGGGGCAAGGGTCAGTGATGCGACGCCAGTAGTAGTGAAGTTCGCTCCTGGTGATGTTGGCCTTGAGACCATCTCTTCCTCTCAACGCCCTCAACAGCTCGTGGGCATACTCCGTTGACCGTTGAATCCCTACCAATTTGTCAAACCAAGCTTTCTTCACATTTTCATTCATCCAATTCAATATAAATCTCAACATATGAATCAAAGAAAGGAAAAAAAAAAAACAAAGAAATCCCCGAGTTATACTCACTGTGACATATTTACCCTGAACCTTTTCTTTTTGTGATATCGAAAAACACCAAATTATATTCACCGTGATACATTTACGCTAAACTTTTTCTTGAGACACTAGAAAACCCCTAAACTTGTACATATGTGACACATTTAGTATCTGTCGCGATTCAGTTAGATAAACAACGTCATTCCATGTCGACATTATTTTCTTTTATGGCGTTCATGTAGGCAGACTTTTAACGATTTTAATTAACAGAATTTTAACGGAGGGTTAATGTGTCACACGGGTACAGATTTGGGATTTTGGGTGTCGCAGAAAAAAATATTATGACAAATATGTTACAGTAAGCATAGTTTAGGATATTTGGTGGTTTTTAGCCATGTATATGTATAATACAACATTAATATCATTTCTAGGCCTCTTTTGTTTTAAAAAGAAAATCCTAATTAACATTCGTTATTTACGCTTTTATCACATCACATGTTCTCAAAGACTCTATTTTTATATGGACGAGACTATATTTCAGAAATGTCATTTTTTCTCTTTTGAAAATCCGGGATAATTTGTTATTTACATACTCGCTGGATGTTATGATTATCGAAATGAATCGCACTCGAAAAAAAAAAAATGAATCGCGTGCATAATTTTTCTTAACGAAAAGTTCTAAATGACAGACCATCGCAATAATTTGGAAAATCCATATAAAAAAGTTATGAAAAGAATTATCGAAATAATTTGTTATCTTTGGGGGGCTTCAAAATAAAAGTATCAACAGTTCGAAACTGTAATTTATTCCTTGCATTTTTTTCTCTAATCTCTTTTCTTTTATTTGATGAACACTAAAAATATAAAAGCTCTTAAAAGCATTTTTTCCGTGCTAACGTGCGCACGCTTACGTGGCGGCTATCGAGTCCCGTACGATACGTGCCGGGGAAGCGGGCGGGAGCGCATGTTAGCGGAGAGCACGCCTTGCATGGACGCGTAAAACCGCGCACGTTTGAGCGCTCAATGGCGTCTTGCTATTGCTTAATGACAAATTGACATTGCATCGAAAAATTCTCTCTCGAAAAATTAAAAAAATAAAAATAGAAAGAAGATATTTTGATGTAGTTTTTTCTAATTAATTCGCCCAAAAAAAAGAAAATCGTCAATCGTTTTGCCTTGTTCCCGGGCACTCACCGAGACAGAAGCCGAAATCCGACCACTTCGCCGCCGGTTCGATGCCGTCCCGGGGGCGGTTCAGGGTGATCCGGTCGAACCGCTCCTCCACCTGCTTCCAGCGCCTGGCGCTTGCGTCCAGGAATCTCAGCCGCTGGATCACCGGACTTGCCGCCGTGCCTCCGTTGTCCCAATCATCGACCGGGTGATCCCGGCTCGCGGGGTTCAGCGAGCCGGCCGGGACGGGAGAGTACTGGACCGGGACCACGCTGGCACTGTAGGAAGACGAGGACGAGGATGAGGATGAGGATGAGGATGATGAGGAGGAGGACAGTGAATAATGAGCCTCAGGAGAATCCATGTTGCTGGGGCTCAACTCTCTCTCTCTCTCTCTCTATCTATCTCTCTTCCTCCCACCCTGCTAGCTCAATCTTTGATGAATTTGACTAAACGCTGAAGCTTTTGTTCTAGTGAGAGAAAGTTCTGCAACACAAGATGGGGGTGGTGAGGAAGTTCTTTCTTTCTCTTTCCCTGTGGTTTCTGGGATTTTGAAAGTGTGCAATGAGCAAGAAAGTGAGGGAAGATCATGTGCTTTTTGAGAAGGTGGGTGATATGAAAATTGGTGGAATTGTGATAAAGATTTGGTTGGAGAAACAAGATATGGAGAGAGAGAGAGAGAGAGTTCATTAATAATTAATGATGGGGGGGTAATGCATTAGCTCAAAGGAGAGAAGGTGGTGAAGTGTGAGAGCAGGTAGGGAGTGGAGAGAAACTGCATGATTTTGATGGGTTAGAGAGAGAGAGAGAGAGAGAGAGAGAGAGAATAAGCATAAATTAGGAATTGGGTTATCAGCTAAACCAAAACAGCTCATCAATTCACCATCGCAAGGAAAGGAACATAATGGTGTTTTTGCACGGAGAAAATGACACGGATGGTCCCTGAACTTTTTTCCGACGTGCAATATGACTCTTGAACTTTTAATTCGTTCAATGTGATCCATGAACTATATAGCCCAATGTGCAACGTGGTCTCTGAACTTTCAATTTGTTCAACGCGGTCTCTGGATTTTTGGTAAATGTTCAATTTAGTCCCTAAACTATATAAAAATGTTCGATGTTGTCCATGAACTTAAATTAATGGAAGGATAATATTGATCATTTTTATATAATTCAAGGATTAAGTTGAACATGTATTGAAAGTCTAAGGATCGCATTGAACGAATAAAAAGTTCAGGGGTCATATTGCACATTAAACCAAAGTTCAGGAACCGCACTGAACAAATTAAAAGTTTATAGACCACATTATACATTGGATCAAAGTTCATAAATCATTTGTGTCATCGTCCCTTTTGCACAAACCAATCTTCCCTCTCTCTTCTCTCTCTCTTTCTCTCTGTGTGAGAAGATTGAATGAATGATTACGTGGGAAAAGCAGGTCTGCTACATCTTAAAGGAGAAGGATCTATGCTGTTAGCGAGTCACAGAGTTCGTCCAAAACGAGTGAACAACCAAACCAAACCATGTGCATTATTGCTTCCTCTTGCCTCTTCGCAAGCAAAGCACAAAAACCGTGCCTTGTCAGCTCGGGCAACCTCTAGCTGTCCGCCATTAAACCCATCTCCTCTGTTCCTGCACAGCTTAACTCCTTCCAATCACTGTTAACACCTCTGTTTCTTCTTGCTCAAAAGAAGTAGTAGTGGGAGCCAGACAGCCATTGGAAGCTGCAAGAAGAAACATCTTCATCCCTGTTTCTTCTTACTCAGCCCACCGAATCCAAACATGGGCTGCCACTCACGGCTGTGCACGGCGGAGGGCGTGCTCTGCTTCTGGGCCTGAGCCCACTTCATGGGCCAATGAAGCCGGTGTTTTTTAGGATGCTGCAGAGGTCTTGTGAGCAAGGAAGAGGTAAAAAGATATTACCAAAAAATTTTATTTTATTTTTTGGTCGGAAAGGTTACCAAAAAGTTTGGTTCGCGAAAAATTGGCCTATCTGGATTTACTTTTACTTTTCATTGTTTACTTAATCTAGGGCTCTGTTTGTTTTGCGAAAAATAAACGATTCGGAAAATATTTTTCTGAAAATGATTGCTTGAAATAATTAGTCGATGAAAAATGTTTTTATTACCGACAACAAATTATGTCTAAATGTTTTCGTGGACGATGAAAAAAAAATTTCGTTTACCCCTTTTTGTAAACAATACAAGCGGCCTTTTTTAGGATGCTGCAGAGGTCTTGTGAGCAAGGAAGAGGTAAAAAGATATTACCAAAAAATTTTATTTTATTTTTTGGTCGGAAAGGTTACCAAAAAGTTTGGTTCGCGAAAAATTGGCCTATCTGGATTTACTTTTACTTTTCATTGTTTACTTAATTTAGGGCTCTGTTTGTTTTGTGGAAAATAAATGATTCGGAAAATATTTTTCTGAAAGTGATTGCTTGTATTGCTTGAAATAATTAATCAATGAAAAATGTTTTCATTGCCAACAACAAATTATGTCTAAACATTTTCATGGACGATGAAAAAAAATTTTCGTTTATTCCTTTTTGTAAACAATGCAAGCGGCCTTTTTTAGGAAATTGTTCTTAAATATACTTTGATTTTTTGAAATCCGAGAATCCCAAAACTTGCACGGTGCTCTAGCGTCGACATTTAGATTAGCATGTGATTTTTTTCGTGATAGTATGAAAGTCGAATAATCATTTAAATTTCGACTGAAAAACAAATTTAACTCCCAAACAAACAGGTCCCAAAACCAAAAGAAGAGGACTGGTTCACCTTTCGACAATTTATTTTAGTGAACCCTAACTTGAATCAAGCAAAATTAAAATTTGCATAGAATTCAAGGCTCCATTTGTTTTGCGAAAATGAATGATTTGGACAATATTTTCCCTAAAAAAATATCACTTATACCACTTGAAATAATTAATCAGTGAAAATAATTTTCATTATTGACGACAATTTATATCTAAATATTTTCGGCGACGATAAAAATATTTTTCGTTCATTCATTTTTGTAACCGATCATTTTTAGGAAAATATTTTACAAATCGTTCATTTTCGCTAAACAAACGAAGCATCAATGGAGATTGAAAAGCATTAACATATTCTTGCCGCCAAAAATTACAATGGACCACCCATTGGAATTAACATCAAAAGGTCAGTTTTGTCTGCTTGGCCCTGCCTTTTCAACTGATGACCTAATGGCCTTAATCACATTAAAATTAGGTATCCTCCTTTTTTGAATTTTTTCACCATTAGTGATGATGTTAGCACTTCCTTCAAGAAAAAGTAATTACCTAAGCACCAAACTCAATAGTCAACAACAAGGGAGTTCAATTTGGCCCCCACCCAAGCCAAAAAAGTCACAATTGAGACCAAACTGCACATGCAATGAGAAAAGGTGGGTGTAAAAAGGGAAAACTAATTGTCCTTTTTCTTCCCATAAAATAATTCTTTTGGGTGAAGAAATAAAATTAAAATGAAACTGGTTGTTGATGATGGATGGACAGTTGAAGCACCTAGGTCCCATGAAGACCACCCAATGTTGTTGTCTTGTTCTTGTCATGGGCGATTACATCCATGCTCAATTACAGTGTCAAAGGGTGATTTTTTTTTTCTTTTTGGGTATGATTGATTTGATGCCATCTTCCTACGTGACCAAAGAGGTCCAGAAAGAACCAGCAAGAGAGCCAACAAAATCACCATAATTATCTAAAGGGATAAGTACATTAGAAGTTATAAAATTTATCGCGAAAATGCAATTGAATCTTAAAATTTTAAAAAAAATATAATCAAGTCCTAAAACTTGTTGAATTGATCCGATTAAGTCCTTCATTCGATTGTACTTTTTGAAAATTTTAGGACTTGATTACATTTTCATGACAATTTTTAGGATTTGATTGCACTTTTTGAAAGTTTTAGGACTCACTTACATTTTCGTGACAAGTTTTAAGACTTTCAATTCACTTATCCATTATATAAAAGAGCTACTATTTTCTCCTCCCCATGTACTGTACTCAGATTTTTGTGGGTTAATTCCCCGATTTTTTTCCTAATTAAGTATGCTTTACATTGTCTAGAGATTGCCCAAGGATGGCGAAGATTTTTCAGATAAGGTAGGTGGGCATTCAAGGTAAAATCAGATCTTCATAACTAAAGAAGATGTGCCCAAAATAGCTTCCAAACGTCTAGGAGCCGTCAGTACGTTCGAGCCGGTGGTGACACCATCTAGGCTAAATAATGTCGGAGCCATTCATCAACGACCGACGAATTTCGTTTTCCACGACATGATCGGCAAGTTAATGGAAGACTACATGTCAAGTTCACTCAGATGTTTGTAGACAAGATAATCGGTTTCGAACCTAAAATGGTAACTCTTAAAATAAAAGATCGGCACGATAATGTACAGCTACATTAGGAGGTGCGTTATCTTAAAGAAAAAGGACGAAAAACATCGTATTTTCACCGTATGATCTTACAATTGAGCATGCAACTCCAACATGTCTGAATCAATTTTAATTTTATTGTTATCTGGATATTATTACAGCGAAAGGGTAATTTCCAAGAAACAAAAAATTTGAATTTTCCTCCCCTATTGTTTTTGAAATTCTCATTTATTACCCCTCGTCCTGTCGTGTAAGAGAGGGCCTTCGACTTCTCCGTACGACCACCTGCCTCTCTCTCTCTCTCTCTCTCTCTGCAGATAACGAAGCATTCACTCTTCTTCTTCTTCTTCCTCCTGCAAGAAACGCCGCCCAGCATTGCGATCGCGCCGCCTCCGTTCTCGCCGGATTCGCTCCGCCGTGCACGGCTTCCCCGAAGTGGGCCTCTCGCGAGGGCGACTCCGGTAGAAAGCGACGACCTTTTTCTCTTCCCATTGCGGTTGTCTGCGGTGGTTTCGCCGGGTCGGTTTGTCGCCTCCTACTCTTTTTTCGATCGATTTGGGACGTCCAATCGGTAAAGTTTCGATTTTTCCTTACTGGGTATCTTGAAAAGATGAGCTGCCGCCGAGTGATTGGCGCTTGCGTTTGGTTTCTCACCGGATGAGGACGTGAAGGGGATCATCTCGAGGAGCTATATATGTTCTATGCTGGTGGTTTCGATCGGTGCATTTGTTTGAATTTTTCGTGCTGCTTCAGGATTGCGTGATCATCGCCGCGGCTGGTTGGTTATCCCTAATTTGATAGTGGGCATTGATATAGGGAGGCTTCTCCTCAATCTCCAGGGCTTTTTTTCATGTTGGGGGTATCTCGATAGTGAAGTATTGCATTGTGTTATTTCGTTGTGAGGGTAATGAGAAGCAAGTCCCTCTCTTTAATGGGTGATTTACGTATCTATGCCTCCAGAGAGAGAAGGTTTTGGCCCTGAGGGTGGAAAAGCTCTCTCTTTTTTTTTTTTTCCTTCAGGTTCATGGAAATATTTGAGTCTAGTAACTTATTGGTGAGGACTGAGGCGAAAAGGAAAATCAGTCTGGTTGAATTTGGGTAGCTTCGTCCTCCGTGGAAGGGAAACCCTGAAATGGACTTCTGGGTATTTGTTGCCGCGGCTGGGGCCGGATGCTTGACAAAGTATTTGAAGAACCCTACGAATGATAGGGAAATGCCGTCAGACCTTTGTTCCGGCTACCAGGACCCCGAATCTGAGAAGTTTCCCTTTCCCAGATTGGCGCGGAGAAAGAAATTTACTAGGGATGCTTCTAATTCTATGGAAAGGTTAGAATTTGTGGGCAGAGAAAGTTTAGATACTTCTTCTGCTGCAGAAGAGGCTTCCAGATCGAGGGTATATGATCCAAAAGGTGAGGGAAATTCGGAGGAGTGCAATGTGCTCTCTATATCAACTTTGCCTACTGAGATGTCAAGTAGTAGGACCTATACAGGGAATGAGAATGAGAGTGATGCTGGTTGTAGTGCCTGTAGTGGCTCAAATGATATGTTGGCTGGACCATTTGAAGGAGATATCGTTACATATCGTGGCTTTCCTAAGAATAAAAACCTTCATAGAAGTAGCTATACGTGCGGGCGGCTTGTTAAGCCATTGAGTTCCTTGGAAAGTTGCCTCATGGCTCAGTTATACAACCATCACGCTGAAATGGAAGATTATTGGCATAGTTCCCGTCAGTCACCAACCTGTCCCACTGTAAGGCCATTGCTGGTCACTGATGGGAGCCACATCATCAGCCAACTCAGTGATGGGTTTTCTGGAGTGCAGTCTGTAACGGAGGTAGATAAATTACAGAAGAAAGCCAACTCAGAAAAAAACAGAAGCGTGATTGGTGTCCCCCCGCTGCCAACACTCGCCTCTTTGCATTTCAGGAAGCAAATGCAAAGTAAATCGGGGAAAGACAAGAGGTTGGGAGGCTCTATCAGAATGTTTACCAGGAAAAGACTTTCTACTGAACATGGTACGTGTTTAATTCACTAAACAATCTTAGAAAGTGCATCTTCTTTCTCATAATACTGATGATTGGATTTGTTACATATTCTTGGGCATTGTCTGTACTACATTTTGTGTAATGTTAGTTGATATTGTTTTCTTCCTTTTCTTGTCTGAGAGGGATAGAATAAATTAAGTGTGCGGGATTGGTACCTAGAATGAGAAGTAGTTGATGTTTGTTACCTCTTAATAAAGTTTCTGGATTCACTCATGACCTATATCAACTTGGTATGTTGAGTTTGTCTAGCTAAGAATGGTGCATGAACGAATTGCCATTGAGAATCTGTTGTAACTTAACTGTTAATACATTAAAGACCCCAGTCCTTTCCCTTTTTATCTGAGTTCATTTTTCGAGTTTGCGATATATCCAGCAGACATGGAAGTTCTGTGATCCATACCTTGTAGAAAGATGGTATTCTGCAATTTATGAGCTAAAATAATGATTTCTTGTCCAAACTTGCAACATGGATTGAAACTATTTTCCTATTTCTAGGGTCATTGCATGGGACCATTCTCTTCTGTCTTGGAATTTCTATTGGAATGATGTCTTCCATTATAGCAAATCGAAAGGAAGTAGACAAATTGAAGGAGTTGTTGAAGCAAACAGAGAACTTGGTTCAAGACCTACACGAGGAACTCGAGATGAAAGATTCGCTTACTGTGAAGGAACTAGCTAGTGAGAATTGTGAATCTCAGGATACACATAATGACTCCTTACGGGACACTGCTCCAACCCCATTTTCCCTTGAACACTCTGTGATCGATCGAAGAGTTTTTACTAAAGAATCATATAGTCCTAAGGTAGGAGAGACTCCAGATAGTATGAGTAAGATTGAAGCTGAGCTTGAAGCTGAACTTGAGAGGCTGGGGCTGAACATGAGCGCATCTAGATTGGAAAGGAGATTGCCGTCTGCTGAGGTAATGATATTTTACTAGCATACTCCTGTACATTTGTATTTCTTTTGATTTTTCCTACTTGACCTGATGTTTAATGTAGCAATGCTAAACACTTTCTTCTCTGTTTTTCTGATAGTTTTGCTGTTATCTCACAGTCTAACAGCTATGTACAAACACCTGTATTGGATCCTGACTGAGTTCTCAATAAATATGGAATTTTCTGTGTCGGAAGAACAATTTAGTTAATTGATCTTGGGCAAGATCTAAGTTTTTTTTATTAGCATGAATTAATTGGTACAACTTTTCTTTACTAATGTTTGGATCATTTCTTCTCCTTGTAAGTAGGGAAATTCATTAGAGAGAGAGAGGGCGCATATTCTACTCTTTCTCTTTTGGAGAAGGTACCTTGCTAATTTTACTATAAAAAAGCCTATCTTTGAAAATCATTTGAACCTTTATCTAGGATGAAAATGCTTCCCGATCCTGATTGAAGTGAACGTCAACCTTGTAGACAAACCAGTAAGTGAGATATCGAAATTTCATGTTCAATCGTGGCAGAGATCTTTAGTTCATGACCTTTTACTGACTGAGGCAACAGATTTGCAGGACTTAAGCTTCACTGTTGTCACATAAATCTGCATGTGCAACCTTTGGGATGCAATTCATATGATCATAGTGTTCATAAAGTCCTATTACTTCCTCATAACTTTTCATATATAACAATCTCAACAACATGTCGAGAAAGGGCATTCGTTTTTGACCCATGTTGGTTTCCTATTTATTACTCCTCTAGCTTTCGAGAGCACAAGCAAATTAAAGGATGCCCAAGGTATAACACAATTGGAATTCATTTCATTTGTTTCTGTCACGTAGCTTACGGGGAGGTCTGGTGAACATAGATGCCCTCATCTTACTTCTAAATGTGTTTTGCGGAGCTGATAAGAAAATCTTCTGGTACTTGGTTGTGGCTTGGGTTGGTTTAATTTGGAGACCCCTTTTGATACTGTCATGCGGCAATGTCTTTGTTTGTGTGTTAGATAGGCCGGTAAGTGCAATTTTGTATCAGTTCTATGAGTCTTTTGATTGTTTGCAACTTCAGGGTGTCCATTGCACTATTGAAAAATTTCAGCATTTTGGCTCCCATATTATCACTGCCAAGGCACCTTTTTAGTCCTGTTTGCAAATCCCTTGTCTGGTGATAGAATGGCGTTCAATTGATCTTATCGAAACTTTTGATCAGATACTTATTTTTTTATGGATGTTTGTAACTAATGCAGATTGAGGACTTGGGGGCGAATTTTGCCCAAGGTGAGTTGAGAACCGGTGTTGATTGTGGACAACTTGTTGCAAAAGAGGACGCAAATAAATCAAGCGGCACCTCTACAACTCACACTGCAAACTATGCAGTTTCACCAACAGAGCTGACGCTTCGCTTGCATGAAGTTATCCAGTCGAGACTTGAAAAGCGCATTCAGGAGCTTGAGTTAGCCCTAGAGAACAGCCAGAGGAAGGTACGAGTCATGGAATCGGCGCACAAAAGTTACAGAAGCCAGAAGTTCATCAATGACAAACTAGCTTGCTCTTTCCATGGTACTCCTGTACATGGAGAGTGCAATGCCGTGGCGCTGCCCCAGCCTCTTATCATGAACCTAGCGGGGGAAGCTCTCAGTGCTTATGACGAGGCTTATGAAGAATTAATGAAGTTTGATTCATCTGAAGAGGATTCGCCGACGGTCCTCTATGAGATCAAGCATCGAGAGCTCTCTAAGATTATAAACCAGGACGAGCTCCTGGGTCAGGACACTGAGGAGAATGGATTCATTCATAAGCTTATGCTAAATGGACAGGACGAATCTGGGGAACTTTTCTCTCGCGAAGTGAAGGCAACGAATGGACATTTTTCAAGGTACCAGGAAATCGACAGTTTTGGGATGGTGGGAGATGAGAGCAGCGATGCCGATGACGAGAAAGAGAAGCTATTAATAAGACAGATAGTGGAAAGGACGAAGAAAGGCTCCCCCGTCGTATTGAAGGCGCAAACGCTGTTGTTTTCGGATGACAACGATGACTAATGAAGCAGAGTTCATTTCTTCAGTGCATAGCAATCGATCATATGTAGGGATAGCACATTTTCATGCGGTAGCTCTTTTTAAGTTTAATTCATCCTGCCATTTTGAGTCTTTCTTACGACCGCCCCACCTCTCGACCGGTGACTTTTCTCCGGCAGAAATGCGAGCTGCTGTGATTCGAAAGCTAAAGCAAATGCAGCTTCGCGACGTTACTTGGATGCCTCGATGTGCTACAATAATGAATTCGGCAGCGTGGCGCCTAGGCAATGTTGGAACTCCCATAAAAAATTTCCCATTCAATCCATGGATTCCGATAGTTGCATTGTTAAAGGATCAGAGACCTAGAAATTTCGAATGTGATGGTGAAGGGCCGCAGCAATCTGAACGTAAAATGATACGTATACAAACAGAAGGTGCAAGTCTAAGCAGACGCCGATTTTCTTGGACTCGAGACATCTTATTTGTCACGGCCAAATTTCTATTGATATCTAAGCAGCTTTTGTTTTACTAAGAACTTTACGATATAGAAAAGGGTTAATACCACGAAAAACCCTAAACTGGTACACTTGTTGACAGATTTACCCCAAACTATTTTTTTGACCATAAAAAACCCCAAACTGGTACATCTGTGACAATTTTATCCCGAATTATTTTTTTGACCACCAAAAACCCCAAACTGGTACACATGTGACAATTTTACCCCGAACTAATTTTTTAATATTTTTTTTTTTTTATTTTTCGAATTTTTTTTAGTTTTTCTTTTCTTTTCTTTTTCCTTTCCTTTTCTCTTTTTTTTTCCTTCATCTTCATTGGACCAACAATGGATTGTTATATTGTAATTGATACCACAATAACATGACACGTAACATAAATGCTACATTTTGACCCAAAAAAAAAACATAAACGCTAAATGAAAGACTTTCTTTTATATGCATGAATTTTCATGCCAACCACTTTTTTCTACATTTAAATGTCTCGCGAAAAAGGTATTATATTGTTGTCGTGTCTTTCTTATTTTTGGGTGCAAGTGGATAGGCAAACTGATGGGGTCCAACGTAGGCTTGTTACCTAAGCTTGGAGTACAGCTAATCAACAATTTCTATACGTCTTGCTTGCCAATTTAATTTAACAGATTAATTTACAAAATTAGTATATTTTATATATAAGATGAGAGATATTATATGTGCATGGCGATTCATAAATCAATATGATCACTTGAAATATATAATAAATAAAACGTGAGACATTTAAATGTAGAAAAAAGTGGTTGTCATGAAAATTCATGCATATAAAAGAAAGTCTTTCATTTAGCGTTTATGTTTTTTTTTTGGGTCAAAATGTAGCATTTATGTCACGTGTCACGTTATTGTGGCATCAATTACAATATAACAATCCATTGTTGGTCCAATGAAGATGAAGGAAAGAAAAAAAGAAAAGGAAAGGAAAAAGAAAAGAAAAGAAAAACTAAAAAAATTCGAAAAATAAAAAAAATAATATTAAAAAATTAGTTCGGGGTAAAATTGTCACAGGTGTACCAGTTTGGGGTTTTTGGTGGTCAAAAAAATAGTTCGGGGTAAAATTATCACAGATGTACCAGTTTGGGGTTTTTAGTGGTCAAAAAAATAGTTCGAGGTAAAATTGTCACAGATGTACCAGTTTGGAGTTTTTTATGGTCAAAAAAATAGTTTGGGGTAAATCTGTCACAAGTGTACCAGTTCAGAATTTTTCGTGGTATTAACCCTATAGAAAAACATTTTTCGTAAAAATCATTTTTAACAAAAATATATATGAAAAATGATCTCCTTCTTACTAGAAAGGAAAATTGTTTTCCTCAATATAAGCTTAATGTCTTAGGTCCATGAGAAATGTTCTTCGTAGTATAATTAATTTTCCATTATCCAAATACTAAAAAATCAAAAAATAATTTTTCGAAAACAGTTTTCCTTTATGCAAAGGAACACTTACCCCGATTCGTACGATGCTTTACAACTTATCTATGATTTTACAGAAGTATTCCATGAACCCAGAAACTTATCTATCAGAGATAAGCTACCTCTTGATTAAAGAAAAAATTGCTCAAAAATCATAATATATACAGAAAGTGAAACAATTGAAGGTTGTTGCGGTCGATGGGAGAAGAGCCCCACCAGCTCACCTAGAGCTCCCCAGCGACCCCATTTTCTACGATGGAGATATCTCACGAGCGCATAGGCTTTGGACTCGAAAAATATTGGAAGTTAGGGCAGAGTTCAATATGTTTTTACTCAACAACAATGATGTAAAAATCCAGAGATAAAAAGGGGTAGAATGGAGGTTCTTGAAACTACACAGCAACAAAGAGCTAAATTATAAAAGAAAGCACGGTCAGGTCACTCCAACACGGGCATACTCAGGCTCTTTTGGCGTAGTCGTTGTCCGGCTCATCGTCTTCATCCCGGGAATTACCTTCCAAAGGATCGTTATCGCCAAAACCTCCGGTTGCGCTCCCCATTGCATCACCTTGGCTACTATCGACTTGATCGCCACTGCCACCAAATCCTCCTGCGCCAGCCCCATATCCAGCGCTAGAAAAGCCGCTTTCACCACCTGCGCCAAAAAAGCTGTCATTGCTGCCACCGCCGCCGCCTGCGACGGAGTAATTACCACCACTTCCATATGCTCCACCGCCAGCACCATCATTTGCATAGCCTGTACCACTGCCATAGCCACCGCCACCGCCACCTCCACTTGGGTAATTTCCTCCACTCCCATAGCTACCACCACCATAATTGCCTCCTCCATAACCGCCCCCACTGTAGCCGCCACCCTCATTTCCTCCACCACCATAGCCATAGTTGCCACCGCCATAGCCAGGACCTCCTCCGTAGCCAGAGCTATACCTTGGTGGCTGCCTATCAGCTGCATAATTCACCCTTATCCTTCGACCATGGAGATCCTGGGGAAAAGGTACAAGATAAATATCAAAGGAAGTCTGCAACAGAAGGATTTTGATAAATGAACTATATGGTTTTTGCTTTGGGGAGGATAAATCAACTATGTACGATACAAAACTTCAGATTAAAAAGGGAAGATGCGATTTAAACTTTGGCAGGGAAAAGGTAAATACGATCTCAATAGCAGTCAAAAGGTTAGGGTATGTCTATTGTCAGAAGGAAAGATAGCCTAGCCACCATATAAATTAGTTTACAGCATAATTCTTAATCTCCAATACTCAAATTTCAACCTGAAAATAACAGCTAAAATCACTTGATTCAATTCAGTTAAAATATTGCTACTTTCAAGCATGCGAAAATGATCATATACAAAACTACTTCCAGTTGTGACTTCCGAATTTCAAGAGTATTTCATCTTGATACCCTAACGATATCCCTCGAACATGGCACAATCATGCAGATGAGAAATTGAGGGGCAGCAGGACTTTTGACAAAGCGGGACCAAAGATGATGTTTTCTTATCATGAAGCCAGAGAGAAAACATAGATTATCCACTGAAGAGAGTATCTCTATATAGCATTATTGTACTCTCAGCGCGATGCAATAATCTAACTCTTCCACAAACATCAAAATTGACCTTTATAAGCATGTGAAACCTATAAGATCCAGTTTTCGTGACACAAGAAGACATAATAAAGAGCAACAAATCAGCTATGATACCTGCCCATCCAAGGCCTGGATGGCACTAGAGGCCTCTTCAGATGAGGTGAAAGTGACAAAGCCAAATCCTCTTGATCTACCAGTTTCACGATCCATAATCACTCTTGCTGCAATGATGACCGTCTTAATCAGTACAAACTATATTTTCCATCCTTAGGCACAAATATTCATATGTACCCAAAGCTTATGCATGATATACCAACTTCTACTGCAATTCCGTTATCAGGAAGATGATCTGCCCTTTTTTTTTCCGGGCCAGAGAAGATGATCTGGTTTCACTCTGTATTAATGCCACTATCGATATTACATCCTAGGCACCTGAGACAGTTCCATTTCATATGGCTTCTAATGCAGTGTTTACTTCATGAAGCATACAGAGAGTTTAACCAAGCTCAGCATACTCGCACCAGAAAGCACAGATAGTGAGTTTAGAAACACAATTTCCAAACCTGTGGTTCTATGTAACTTAACGAAATTATTGAAATGAACTACCTTCAATAACTTCCCCATACTTGGCAAAAGCTTCTGTCAAACCTTGCTGATCAGTTCCATATGAGAGTCCTGCACATGAACATCCAAAAACTCAATATTGAAGGGCAAAATCAATTCTGATATTGTTAACACGGGAAAGAAGACAGGATCCACCTCCAATAAAAATCTTAGAAGACGACATGCATCTTATCGTCTGGTATATAAATGATTTTGTTGCAGAAAATTCTGTGTTTGCTTGCTTGCTTGCAGACTGCCTAAGGATATTGCCGACTTTACTCAAGAAGGCCATGATGATGACCTGCGGGTAAGACAAAAAGGAAAGTTACTGTCATATGTAAAAGGGTTTACATGCAGATCCAAGCATCAAGATAATTGAGAATCTATTGCAAGCTACAAAAAACAAACATGATTATCCGAGGGATAACACACAAATAATCAACTCCAACATCAGCTTGGCACATGTCGCGTATGCAAATGCAAACCAGCAAGCAGCAACACATAACAAACAGCTCGGTTCCGCAGAATATTCGCTTCGAGAACTCTCATAACAAGGAAAGACGAAGAACAAGAAGGTAAAGGAAAGGAAACGAGGTAAACCGACAAAGACTAACATATCCAAGAAAAGGACTCATTTCAACAATTCAAACCCATCAGGAAATCCCACCATCCAATGCGAAAAAAGAAAAGAAAAAAACCCATCAAACCACAGACAGCAGAAATCAAAAGGCTACTTGTCGCAATCCGGAGACTCCGAACCCGTAATCGACCATGTTCCGCACAGCAGCTCAAGAGACGCAATACACGAAGGCAAGCACTGCCCGACAGTAAAAATGTTCCGACATTCAAAACCCCGTCCGTCCTACCGTTTCTCCCACTAAAAAGAAACCGGCGGTCCTTCCAAGCCGTTCGCGCACCGATCATTTCCAAGGGAATCAATCGACAAAACACTCAAATCACAACCAAAAGAACGCCCGCAACGACAGATCGAGCTCAGAAAACGACGGCCGCCGACATTCACAGAGCCAGAACGCAAAACCATCACGCCAACGGCAGCACGCCAGAAGCAAACAAGCGAAAAAAAACAGCCACCGACGTATCAGATCAAGCGCAGGCGTCGACGAACAAGCTGAAAACCCTAACGATCGGAAGCGATCGACGGCGACGAAGGAGACGACGAACCTTGCGAAACAGCTTCTCACTGCTTCTCGCGAAGAGCCTAAAACCCTAATTTCAGGCTTCGATTTTTTGGGGGAAGGGTTTAAGCCCCGGCTGATTTCTCCGGGGGTGCTTTATATTGGGGAGGCAGGCGGATTCCTCGCCGTTGGATGGGCGCGCGGACTCGCGAGAGGCGTCGGATGAGGGATTGGCGCTGAGGGAAGGGCGGTGATGTGCTGCGTGGGTGCTAGGCTTACGTGTTGGGTTCTGGTTGGACTGTTCCTTTCGCTTCCGTGACCGGCGGTGTAGACTGGCCAAATATCTGTCGACTCGAAATGACTCTCTTGCCCCTTTGTATCTTCGGTTGACCTTTCAAGAATTTTTTTCACACCTCTCGTTTCGAAATGCTTCGGTCTTAGGCATGTCCTTAAAAGGTTTCGTCTTAGTTATTATCCGGACTTCCCGAATCATCACGATGTCAAATTTTTAAAGAATATTATTTCTCTTTGAGGAAGACAAAGATATAAGAGAAATTGGAGGTGCAGAGCGAGCGAGTACCTGCATGTGAAAATAAGGAATGCTTCCATGAAACCCACCCGGCAAGATTAGGACAAGCCGTGGAGACTCTCGTAAGAACTTCAGCTCCTTTTCTTTGGTGAGGTTAATTCTTAATCGAACACCAAAAATCTATAGAAAGCCCTCGGTTAAGAGTTCAAAGAGGCCATCTCCCAAAAGCCTATTTAAATGTTTTCACATAAACAAAAAAGTTTTAGATCGTTCGTCAAATGATCATTGTGTATATGCTTAGAAGCTTTTGAAGAGAGCAAATACCACTAAAAACTTCAAACTGATTCCACGTAAATAGATACACACCGAATTATCTCTCGACCCATAAAAATCCCTAAGAGGGCACGACCTGGACACATTCACACTTCTGTCCAAATTGGCCATTAAAAATCCTATGTGTTATCCGACGTGGAAAAGTAATCCTATGTGTAATCCAACATGAATTGTCAGCAAAGTCAAGAATTTTTCTTTTTCCCAAACGCCCTTGTTGCATGAATAGAAAACAATATCGTTTCTTTCGCAATTTGGGTTGAAAATTTAGCAAATAGCGTGGTCGTTTTTTTTTCCAAATGAGAATTTGGTTCATCTGGCGCAAATTTTGGGCAACCCAAGGGGTTTTTTTTTTAAAAGGAGAATCGAAGCTTTGCCAAATACTATCATACGAACTCATTAGGTTGGTGGCGTGTGATTCATGTTCGATTACCTCGACCAAAACCTTAGATCGGATCTCATCGATCGATACTCTCTCGTATTACATAATGATCCAAATTTCCGCGATATAAATGTTGAATGACTCACCCCTTATCATCGGAAATTAAGAACTACTTTTATTTTGTATTCGTTAATAATGAGATGTCCCGAATTATTTGGTTACTTGGTTAACTTTCAAATTGAGCACCTAAAAGCTAATGGGCTAATATCGCAAAAAAATCCCAAAATGATATATCTGTAGTAAATTTACCCAAAACTAATTTTTGATCACGAAAAACTCCAAACTGGTACACTTATGACAAATTTATCCCAAATTAATTTTTTGATCACAAAAAGCCTTAAACCGGTACATTTGTGGCAAATTTATCATTTATTAAATTGGATTAATACCACGAAAAATCACGAATTGGTACACCAGTGATAAACGGAGGGTTAAAATCCTAAATCGGTACATCCGTTAATTGTCACGTGTCATTCAATTCAGTAATTTGACGGTATAATTTAACAGAAATAGAAGTTAAATTTATCACGGGCGTATTAATTTGAACTTTCAGGATATTAACTAAAGGTGGCCTCGTCGGAGCACATGAAGACGACGGCTTTGAAACCGACGAGGATGAACCAAGGACCTACAAATGGCCGCTGAGGCCCCGCAACTTCGGTTGATTGGAGCTTAGCGACGACTGCGACGACCCCCGCGGCTTCCCTATCACACAGCAAGAGCGACGAGCGATGGCTCCGAGGCCCTCCTTCGTCCTCGCCCGATAGTCAAAGAACCCGAGAGACCCCCCACCCATTTCCTCGTTCTTCCCAAAATTGCCGATCAAAGCGGCGTCAAGGAGCGAAATTGATCCCGGTTTCGGGCACCCAATGGCCCAGAACTCCAGACCCAGAAGCGTCCTCGATTCCCTGGGCGAGGAAATCGTCCGGATCGTCACGCCCGTCTCGATTTGCATGTTCTTGGTGGTGATCTTGGTCTCCGTGCTGGGCTCCTCGTCTTCCTCGTCGTCCATGTCGGGCTCCTCCATGGCCACGATCGCGTACTCCGAGTCCGACTCGGACTCGGACTCGTCCTGGGACAAGTTCATAGGTGCGCTTTGGAACTCCCTCGCATTTGTGGCCGTCGTCACCGTGGTCACTTTCGTGTTGGTGCTCTTGTTTTACCTGAGATGCACTCGGTTCTTGAAGTTCTACATGGGTTTCTCGGCTTTTATCGTCTTAGGCTTCCTGGGAGGTGAAATCGCTTTGTTCCTCATCCAAGATTTCAGTATCCCAGTTGATTGTATCACGTTTTTCCTGGTTTTGTTTAATTTCGCTGTTGTGGGTGTCTTGGCCGTGTTCGTGTCGAAGATGGCCATTCTCGTGACGCAAGGGTATTTGGTGGTTATTGGCATGTTGGTTGCTTATTGGTTTACTATGCTGCCCGAATGGACTACTTGGGTTCTATTGGTTGCTATGGCACTGTATGATCTTGCTGCTGTTCTGTTGCCCGTGGGGCCATTGAGGCTCTTGGTGGAGCTCGCGATTTCCAGGGATGAAGATATTCCTGCACTGGTTTACGAGGCGAGGCCGGTGACTCATAGCGATTCAGGTCATGAGAGCGGTGTAGTTCAAAGAAGAGTGTGGAGAGAGAGGCAAAGTTCTGCTCATGATCCAGTTGAGCCTCCTAATTTAAATTCCTCCAATGCCAATGCCGTGCCCATTGCAAACCAAAACACCAGCCCTGGTAGTTTGTCTGTTAATAGTGTCCATAATGTCACAAATTCAGTTGCAGCCCCAGAGAGACCGTCACCAGACCGTGAAGGAGAAAGTGAACTTTCTGCACCATTGATCGACCACAGAATAAACGTCAGTCCTCGGGGCAATGAAGATGCTATACCGAGTGAGAATTTGGTGCTAGAGGGTATTGGCCTCGGTTCTTCCGGTGCTATAAAGCTTGGTCTAGGCGACTTCATCTTCTACAGTGTTTTAGTGGGTAGAGCAGCCATGTATGATTTCATGACGGTGTATGCCTGTTACCTTGCCATTATAGCTGGACTAGGTATTACATTGATGCTGCTGGCATTTTATCAGAAGGCCCTGCCGGCTCTTCCGGTGTCAATACTGCTAGGGGTGTTGTTTTATGTATTGACTAGGTTCTTACTTGAAATATTTGTTGTACAATTATCCTCAAACCTCTTGATGTTCTAGAATTCAAATTTCCCCATTTTTCTATCATTGGTACCAATTTGTTCAGCAATAATATGTACTTTGTGGTGATTACGTGCTAGATGCATTTTCTCAAACTTGTCTGTCTATATTTGTCTGGTCTAGTTTGCAACGAAACATGAGAACACATATGTTACATTGAAGTTACAAAATGATCTTTTCTACCGGCCTTGGCTTTTCCACCTTTTTTTAATGTTGCTGTGTACAGGTGCGCATATACTTTTAGGCTGTAGCAATTTATTTGTATGATAAGAGGGCCTTCAAGTGGACAAGGCCCGTGCATTGTGACTAATAAGCAATGCACAAATAGAAACTAAGGATGAGTTTCAAGCAAATGGGAAGAGTAAGAAACTGTTGCGTATGAGAATGAACAAAAGATCCAGCCAGCCTGATTGCAGGTTAGCTCCCTTAAATATCTTGTTTTTCATACTTGTCTAGTGACACTCAGCAAATTCCCTCATAAGTTGGCTCCGCAGCTCTTGCTTGTGGACAGTGGGGACCTTCCTGAATCAGTTTATTAGTACATATAGGCATGATTACAACCTTCGTTGGCACATACCTTTTGTTTTTTTTCCTTTCTCTGAGACTCTCTAATATACTTGGGTTTTTTTTTTGGGTCGGAATATACTTGGGTTTATTATGATAGATTCTATACTTCTAATCACCTGCAAGGCTGGTAAGTGGACTGTTGAGGTTATATACTGTGATAATCTGATGTGATCTGACCACCTCCTTGCATGAAAACATAGTTAAGAGATTCATAGAATGCTAAGAATCCAGAAGGTTGTACGGCACTGCGGTTATCTGTCTTGCTAGTAGTTTATTTTATTTTATTTTTTGTGAAAAAGCTAGTAGTTTAATTGGCATGTTCACTTTTCAGTCAATAAGTTGTTGTAACTCTAGTTATGGTTAGTTATAAATTGGGCCAGAGAAGGAATTTAGGCAGACCAGAAAAAATCTTGTAGAAAAGGAAAAGGGAGACAACTGAAAAAAGAGACCTTCTGCTTTTCGGATCCAAGGTGATTTAGCAATTGGAGGAGAGTCTTCACACAGAAAAAGAATTTGCAGTGTAGGTAACACAGTGGATGCATGTGGATAGATAGACACGGACAGTTGTTTGAACTTTTGAGCGACATCGTTTAATGTGGATGCATGTGGATAGATAGACACAGACAGTTAATTGAACTTTTGAGCGACACTGTTAATGTTTCTACCAATGTTGTCAAATACTCAGAAGGCACATAGAAGTTGGCTTATACCTAAAGGAGGAAAACTTTTGGTTGAGCACCTCAGAATTTTGACAAGTACCTGGATTGATTCATAATATTGCACAGGGACAATAAAGTTTTGTCGGTCGTTTCGCATGACGAGATGTTTGTTAGCATTGGCTTTGTCTTCGACAAAGTCACCAAGTGTTGCATGTAAAAATCGAGTGTAGTGAGGCCCTCTTTTTTGTTGCTAGTGGGTGGCATCTGATGTACCGTAGCATGCCACTTTTGCATTTACATTGAGTTGTCTTTGGCTTCATCTGCATCTTAAGAGAGCAGTTTATGATTCACAGAGATAGCAAAGCATGAGTTTCCACATGGCTCTTTTTTGATAAAGAATATCTAGACCTCTGCCTCGCAGCATATCGACCCCCCTGCCCTGTTCCATGTAATATATTGCTCATATCTTCACAGTATTCTCAGATAACTGATTTTTGCGGAACATTGAGGCATTATAGGATTTAGCAGGTACTGAGGATCTTTGGAGTGTGAAACTAGTCTGTGTACTGGAAGAGAATGGCTGAAGCCCACAGAAAAGAAATATATTCTCTGCACACTCTGGTCATTCTGTTTTGTTTTCCCTTTCCTTCTGCATCAGAAGGAGATTGCTTTTCGTTTCCTACACAGATACTAGGATTACTTATCACGTTCCATGAATGAGAGACGCGTGCCAAACTTCGAATGTCATTGGGTGGAACATCATGCCGCTGCATGGCGTGTTGCCTGAAGTGACTTCCTTGTTACATCTACAATCTTGCGTTAACTGCACTGCTATGCTGGAGGACGGTATGAAATAAAACATCTTGTGGAGCTCACCGAGTTCAATCCTGACCTGGAAAACTATTGAAGGCTTCACTGGAAGGTGATGTTCTGCCTCGGGCCCTCAGCTCAGCATTTTTGTGTGGCCCAACATTTTAATCGAGCCAACCATATTAGCATAAGAAGGTACAAATATAAGAACAATATTCAAATGGTCGGCAGTGGGCAGGCCTAGTTGGCTTCATATTGGGAAAAATTAGGACCGATTGGTTCCAAGGTTGGTCGGTTTTAAAACTGGAATTCGGAACCTACTCCATGGGTCTTGGTTTCGAAAAATTGGCATTGGGAACCGAACGGGTTATACTTGGAACCGATTGTTTCTAGGTTGGTTCTTGATTCTATTTGGGAATCAGGTTTGTTTTGTAAGAATCACATAAATTGATATAAGATACTATTATTTTGAGCTTATTATTAGTAAAGTCTTGTTAGTTGGGTGGTCTTGTATGCCTACTTTAAGCTGGAAGCTGTTCGTTCCGTTGTCCCCAGTTGAATCTCACTACATTTTTATTTGAAATAAGAATATAAGACCGGTTTGACCTTGGAACAGTCCTGCTTAATTGGTTCCGTAATCGAATCGGCATTCTAGCATAAGAACTAAGAACCATAATCGGCTCGGAACAGATCAAGTATGGCCCAAACAGTCCTGCTAAATTGATTCTATAATCGAACCGGTGGTTTTGATATAAGAACTGAGAACTGGACCGACTTTCCCGTAACTGGCTTGGAACAGATCAAGTATGCCTAGTTCAGTCTAGTTTTCGAATTGAATCAGTCCTAAATTTATTACGTAGAATTCAATCGAATTCTAAACCTTTTAATTGAATCGGTTTAGTCATGAACCTCAAGTGTAATCAACCATTCTGCTTAGTTGGTTCTATGGTCAAACCAGCGATTCTGACATAAAATTGAGAATTGGGGCAGCTCTTCTTGAAATCGGACTGAAACATATCAGGCAAGGCCAATTTAGTCCAATTCCCGAGTAGAACCGGCTCGAGTGCTCACTCACCCCAAAGGAAAATTGCACGATCAGTTCTCAATCTATTGTGTAGAATGCAATCGAATCCTAATCCTTTTAATTAAACCAGTATAATCATAAATCTCAAGTGCAATCAAGTCCTCTCAACCAAGTTCAGCATGATTTATTTGACATGACAATCCGGTCATCCCTGACCTTCCTAATGTAAGGCGACGACACAAGGTGGTCCCTCTAAAATTGTGTTATATTTTTATAATCTATTTGTGTTGATTTCTTCGCATAATGCATTGGTGGTCCCTCACTGAAAAGATTCTATATTTCCTTTTGGTACAGGTTTGAGATGAACGATAAATCAACATCGATCTGCATTTCCAACGGTAGAAATTTTGTCCTTCACCCAACACTTGACCAAGTGGGGGGAAGATAAATTTAGTAAAGTTAGATATCAATACAGTTCTGTGTCGGGGCTTCATGAGAGATATTAAGGATGGGATAAAACGTAAATTCAAAAGCTATATTTTGAGATGCCTAGAATGTCTCTAAATGGAGGTTGAGATTCATATTTGATAATAGCGGTATTATTAATCTTGTTTTTCATTATTTGCACCATGGGTTGATTGAGGTGCATGGAGAAAACTTTCTAGTGGATGAGGAACATAAAGGTGTTTTAGCTAAGGAAGATGCTGTGGATGAGCAAGCTGAGGATGTTGAGACTGATGATGAAGGAATAGTTTGAGCACCAGGGGACTGTGGATGAGACTAGAGGGATTAGTTGATGACGAGTGACGGTGGATGATATTGGTTCAACTAATGAGGGATTAGTTCAGCATGAGGTTAGTCTAAATAATGATGATGTAGCTGATGAGCATGAGGAGACAGTGGATGAGGTTGGCTTAGAGGGTGCTCAGGTTAATTATAGTAGAAAAATTGGATTTTTTAGGGGCATCTAACGTAAAAGTTAGAGTAAGGAACCGAAAACGCTGACTTACTAGTCGGTGCAAGATTCTTGAGTGATGATGATGATGAACTTGTAGAAGTAAGGAAGACGACCGGAGAGTTCTCTGGGACAGCCAGCCTGAATATGGTCACAAGTGTATCCTCGGTGGGAGACCGGTCTAATCATTAATCATTTCATGTGAACAATGAAATTGTTGCTGAAGATGATTATTGGACAAAGTACTATCAAAGAGTCACCGGTCCGCTGTACCCTTAGTATGGTCCTTCTTCTCCAATTGTGCTTTTTATCATTTATCATTTGACTAGTGGGACAACTTAGAAGTCCAGGGGACATAAACAACTGTGCAACATTGGTCGGTCACTTTGCAGAATCTAATGTTTTCTTCGGGTAAATCTTTCGCCTGTAAATTCTATGGGATGATAAAGACAAGAACGAACCCCAAGGAAAAGGCAAAATCACTTCGATTGGTAAGTTTTCCTTCGAAAATGGGAAGATCTATAGCGCAAGAAGAAGGGATCGACCGTTTTTCCCATTTTCGACCCCATATGCACGGCCAAAGTGACAAGATTGAGAGCATCTATTCTTGTCTTAACGACTTCCACCATTTTCATGTCCATAACCGCATGAAATTCGCTTAAACCTTTTTTGTTTCCAGTAGAAAATCCTTCTTCAAACTTGACGCGGAAACTTATCCTAACTAGGATATTATAAAATTGTCCATATTGGGAAATTTCAAAGTTCTGCTCTATGTAAAGTTGACCCAAAAAAAAGAAGAAGTTGAGCAACTAAGCCAGTTCAACTAGAAAACGGGACCGAACTTATTTTACCTAACCGATTTCAAGCCAATATTGAAACACCGGTCTGGTTCTCAATTCTGGCCGAATTAATTTTAGTGGACCGATTCCAAGCCGAATCTAAAGAATCGGTCTAATTCCTAATTCGAACCCTGGAACCTGCCTTTTAACAGTTTGAATCCCGAAACCATCGGTTCAACCCAGGAGTCAACCAAGCAGGCTTGGTCAGGTAAGGCCGGTTCAGCCGGAACCCAGCACCGAACCGGTTCTTTGGAACCGGCCAAGAATCCATTGGGTAAGGCCGATTCGGTTCGGTTCTTGAATTGAAACGACTCGGTTGCTGCTCAACCCTACTTTGAGCAGAGCCTTGAAATTTCCCGATACGAACAATTCTATGATATCCTACTTATTACAAGTTTCCGCATCAAGTTTGAGAAGGCTTTTCTACCCCCAAAAAAAAAAGTTTGAGCGGGTTTCATGCTGTTGGGGCCATGACAATGGTGGAAGTCGTTAAGACAAGAATAGATGGCCTCAATCTTAGTCTCTTTGACCCGGGAACATATATCAAATTCGAAGAAGAATAAAACGTTAGACTCTGTAAAGTGACCGACCCCAGTTCCATCGGCTCTTAACTTGTATAGGTTGTCCCCATTAGTCAAACCATGAAAAGAGTGAATGGAGAAAAGTGACCATCTTAAGGGTACAGTTGACCGGCGACTCTTGACTTTTCATATCACAACCAACCTTTCCCCGCAAGCGTCAAAGCAAGAACGCGCAGGATGTGGATTTCCCCCCAACACCACCTGTGAGAAAAATGCAGATGCAGATGAACACACGAAACCAACCATGGCCGGCAGAGCTGATTATTATTGTTAAAGATTTCGAGGGTCCCTTTCTAGAAGTTGGGAGACATGTCTCATTTCACGTGAATTTCCTGAGAGCTCACGACCTGGTCCGGTACACTGCACCCTGTCCGCAATGTGCAAGTGGTTCAGTGCATTGTGTGCCGTGCACTTTGAAAACTCTCCCATTGAACTTCTACAGCTTTCCCTGTTCTAAACCACGACAGTATTAATGGCCCATCAGTATCATCACCTTTTCACTTTTATACCGGAACGACTGTAGGAAACAACTGGGGTCAGTCCATTGATGAATCAAGACTTGCTCATTCGAAGGCTATAGTCCATTGATCATGTGGGGTTCGAGTTCAACGCGCTTGGCTGGGATTTTACCCGACCTTATTGTATTCTATCTGGAGATGTACAAGTTATTGACTTGAGCTTCAGTTTTGTGGGATGTGTCATTTTCGGGTAATTTTCGACGACTTTGTGTGCATGCTGCTGTCCACTTCTAATCTATGTTTTCCAGCTAATTCCATTGAACAAAGTTTTGACATTTTCTTTTTCAACGCGCAAGTTCCTAACTTCCTTCGTTCTTTTTCTCCCTTTTTTTTGGGTAAAATTCAGTAGAAAAAGGGAAAAAGAGAAGTTAAAGGCCCCACTTGGTTAGCATCAAGAGATAAGGGGAGTAACTAACTATTCGGACTATTGAGGGTCCGGATCTACAGAAAGATTTGATGCTGAAAATTGACTGATTTTGGATTTGTAGCTTGAATTCCACGCTTGTATCTTCCCTATCTAACAGCTTGTGTTTTTTCCGGATGTCGACAATTTGATAAGGTTTAGATGGTTCCTCTCAAGTTCATGTTCTTTTATGTCGAAGTCCAACTTTTCTGAGTCTAAGCTCAAGACTCTCAGCTCAAGGGAAGAAGAATTGAAGAGTGTTAATCAATACAGAACATGGGAATCACTTAAAGAAAGCAAAGGGCGTGTTTGGTGGTCTTCGACACAAGCGAAAAGTCCTTCCGGTGTACGAATAATGCCTTCGCCCGATGTAGTTTACTCTTACACGGAGAGGATCATTGCATATATACAGATTGCATATATACAGAGAGAGAGAGAGAGAGAGAGAGAGAGAGAGAGAGAGAGAGAGAGAGAGTTACACCAACCAAATTATGCATATAAATTCCCAGTTGGTATCATCACACGAGATACAATGTAAATGAGAAGTTTTCTTAGACACTCTATACCTGGACGCGTTAAATATTAAAACGCATCTACATCGATTACAATAAGGTAAAACAAAGACAAAAGGACAGGAATTGGAAGAGCTGATAGTAAAATGAATTCACTTCTTCCATGGATGGGGCAATGACTTTGCGGATCCTTCAAAAAGATCCAGAATGTAGTTCTCCATGTCATCAGCAGTGTACTTGATGTACTTCTCACCGATAGAACCAGAATGTACTCCAAGAAACGTCCGATAAGCATGGATCACCTTCTGTGAAGTCGCAATCTGCACATCCAACCGAAGCTGAGGATCTCGGATGATCCACCCCGTTTGACACTTGTAGACTTCCTCGAAAGTAAGACCGAATGCCTTGCACCTTTCTCTAAGAGTTGGCTTACAGAAGCCCAAAGCCTGGTTCCCACCACCCTTGAGCAAAGAAAGAGCACAACTCCATGTGGCTCTTAGATAACTTGTTGCGTGCTGCTGGTATTTTCCGATATGCTTCCTGATCCACTCGTCCCCAAAGTAAAGCCTGAGGTCAGAGTCTTTTATCTTTTGAACCATGTAATGGATGTTGTTCATCAAGAATATATGCTGGAGGGAACCATCCTTGAATAGCTTGGACTTCTCGACAAGGTTCGACTCTAAAACAGACACCAGTGACCTCGCCTGGGCTGCCAATGCACATGAACTGTCAGAAGAGCATTCCTCCTCGTTATCTATTCCAAGACAAGGCTCCGGATGTTTTACTTCTTGATCACAAAGAAGCAAATTAAGGGGGCCCCTATATGCAGAAAGGACCTTGATGTAGTTCATGGCATACTTTGTGAGAGGATGAATCCCACCTCCGCCAAAAGGTTTCTGAGACCTGTCTAGAGCGATACGATTCCTAAATTCAGCAAATGTTGCTCTTGCATAATCACCCAAGCTGGCCAAAAGATCATGAAACTCGATTCTAACGGAAGCACCAGCATATTCCGAGTATAAAGCATCTATGTAGTTAAGGAGTTCAGTGAGGACCTCATACATGTCGAGCACGCGAAATAACTTCTCCGGTTGATGTGGTGACATTGTTATGGCTTCACCAAAGTTCAAGAAAAGCAGCATCGAAGCCTTTGTGATATCGACAAAGGTAATCGAGTTAACGGAACCAAACTCTCCTAGAACCTCGTTGCAAAGACGTTTTTCGCTAGCAAGATAGACACGTATAATGATCCTCATAGCCCAAGCCCATTGCTTTATCTCACAGCTCATCTTATCCCAATCCATTCTCAGAGTATCTTCAATTGTCAAGTGCTCCATTTTGAGTATGAGCAAGTACTCATGCAGCGCTTCTTTCCGGATGCTAACATAAGCTTGGCAAAATTCCTGATCGTATTTTGATGAAAACATCACCTGTGCAATCGACTTGAGAGCAGGGACCATATCGGGGTGGATCAGGCTTACCAGACATTCCGCCGATGCATTGCCGGTGCCACTGCCACCATCCTCTGCACGAGATGTTAACTCAGCTGCTTCATCCTCTATGGAAACAAACGACTCATCATACACCACATCCTCCACAACAGAGCGGAACGACATGTATTCAGGCTCATAGAACTCCTTATACTGGACAAGAATGTGCCTCAGCTCTTCCGCGAGCCTCGACATTGCTATCTCCAAGATGCCTTGAGCACGAAGAAGAAGTTCCTTCTGCTTCGCATTCCTTATGGGAGAAACGCATCCTAAAGTCTCCACTAATTTTTGAATCTCGACAGCAGCTTTCAGATACTCTGAGGTTTCCTCCGAGCTAGAGTCCCATATCAGTGACTGGTTAGCCTCCCAACTCATGACCACTATCTCATTCTGTCTGAGTTGCTCTTCTATTTCCTTCAACAAGCCGCCCCTGCCCAACCTGCCCCTGCTCTCACTAGGCGTGGACCTCGTGGAGAGATGAGCTTCAACATTGGAAAGGAAACTGCTCATGTCATCAATGTTCAGGTTTGTACTTGCTCTCAGTGCCAGCATGAGGTGCTGAGCTGCTGCAACTAGATGATGCTCCATTTCATGGTTTACAAGGGCGGGTTCGCAGTCCCCCATTTCGACAGAAACGATGGATTCGCTCAAGAAGTACCAAGAAAACACAGACTAGGAAACTCTGGATATGGCTCACACAGAAATCCTGGATAAATTCAAGAACCTTTCCACCTCATTTGGTAAACCCAAGTTTACCCTCGGAAGCCGGCGTCACGAAATCTCCATTGATTTCATTTCGCACCAACTTCTACACGGCGACTCCGGCAAAGAAATGGATTTGTCTCAGAAGAAGACTTCTTTGCTAAGAATTTCTCCCACCTTGACAAGAGAACTGCACTTCACACGGCTCGGCTTCAACTATCAATGAGTTGAAATCGAAGAGAGGGGAGTCAAAAAAAGTTCAAGAGTCCGAAGCAAAAAGGTCGCCGGCGGGCGAGCAAGAAAGGAAGGGGAAGTTCCCTGGGACTCTCGGCTAAGTTTCCAAAACTGAGAAGGACAGAGAGGCGGCTATGAAGAAAAATCTAAGCACTACAAATCAACATCCAAAATCCCAAACGACCCAACAAAGCAGAAGTACCAAATTCTCAACAGACAACCAAGATTGAGGAAATGGGCAATCCAGGGAGGATTCAGGAACTGTAGCCTAAAATCACACGGATTCACAACAGACCCGACAAGAGCTAGCCTTTGGAGTTTGGACCGCCGCCTCTTTTACCGTGCCAACGATCTGATCACCGCACCAAATCAGACAGAACAACGGATTCAACCGAACGAAACTCCCCTTACCCCCAGAACAAGAAACGACACATTAAAAAAAAAACACGATCAGCCACGAACCTCCCGGGGTAAAAATTTTCAAGAACCGGGGGACAGCTCCGCCTCGGACGAAAACCAGCGCCGGGCCGAAGCAGCGGGGGAGGGGTAAGAAAGGAAACAAAAGGGTACCCGACGGGGGGCCAGGGACTCGACCGACCCACGAGAGACCGATCAGCGAAGCCCTCCCACGCGCTCCCCGAGGACGGCGCCGCCGTACCGTACGGAAGCAGGGGGAGGAAGGAAGGAAGGAATCTCCGGAGGATCAAGGGAGAGAGAGAGAAAAGAAGGTGGGATTCAATGGAGGACGAGAGAAGAAGCAAAGGGTAGGAGCTCGGCTTCGGTTTTGATGGAGAAAGGAGCGAACTTCTTCTCGGCACTTTCGCGCGGGTCACAGCTCTTGTCGTTTTCTCGCCGATGGCGATGATGATGATGCTCTTCATCTTCTTCGGCTCGCTGCCTGTCGAGCGTTGACCCCCGGGATCCCCCGCGGGCTCATCCCAACGGTCCCCGGTCCACGCGCTTACCGTGAGTCCGCCGCGTGTGATCATTGCGCCCGTCAGCTTTTTCCCCTCTTTTTCTTTTTTTTTTCGTTTTTTTTATTTTTCCTCTTCTTCTTTTTTTTCGCGATATTTGTTTGGAATGCGGCGTTGGGGGATGGGGGAGCGGGAGGAGCCGTCGATGTCCGTACACATCGACCCTCGGAATCAAGGACACGAGATACGTATTGGGACTAATTAAAAATTTCATTTTTTTTTTGGAGCGAGCGATTGATTATCGAAGTAACAAAAAAGATAAAAGAGAGAGAGCGAAAGCCATTTACTCGAGCGATATCTCGATACGATTAGGTTGGACTGCACGTCGGAAATTTTGGCCGGAAATTTTGGCCGGACAGATTTTTTATTGCGATTCGGAGTCGTGAATTTTAACCGATTACACGCGTTCTGATCGGCGTGTATCTCGACTTATGACTGTGCTGTTTTTTTTTTTTTTATGTAGGCGCACGATGCCTCGGGGACGGATGACTTTCAAGTTAGAAAAGCGGCGACGACTTCGTGGGGGCTCGTTTGGGTCCTGGGCTAGGATTCGGTGAGGAGAATGACCAAAAATAGTTAAGAAACAAAGACTACATATAATAATCGGGAGACGATCACTAAGCTAAGCGGCGGGTAGACGCGTTTTCGGTCCTGTTTTGAATGGGTTTTTTTTAAACCGTTTCGTGGTAACAGCGTATTTTAGGCGATTTTCAAACGCGTAAAAATTTCGGGTTTTCGATAAAGATAAACGCTCTCCTAATTGAGAGCACAAAAAGCTCACCAACACTTTTTGGGAGGGGGGAGGAAAAAAAATTTTGAATCTTCATTTAACAAGTGGGAATATTCGTTGGGTTAAATCCAACCCAATGCCTATAATTTGGCATTACTCTTAAACTTGTACTCATAAAAGTAAAGGGACAAAATGCTACAGTTGCTTGGACCACATGTCCTAACTTTAGATGTATCAATGCGGGCCCTACATGAATAAAACATTGGGCCACCAAGCTTTCAAATAGCACAAGGTAGGAGGAGTCCCACGTCGACCATGAACGCACATGCACCTCGATTTATACTGTCCAAGCGAGACGGAAGAGGTTGTCTCTTCGGAGACATCCGATAAAATTGGAAAGATATAGAGAAGATTAGCATGGCCCCTGTGTAAGGATGACACGCACAAATCGAGAAATGGTCCAAATTTTTTTGCACTTTTTTTAGTTTATTTCATTTTCATATGATTGGAGTTTTTATAAATTTTATAACACTTACCTCTTTGGTTCTCTTTAATCTATTTTACCTCATCTCACCGTTTTACGACAAGTTCAACATGGTCATGAATATTTACCAAAATTTTAATTAGATTTTCTTATTTTAATGAAATTGTTCATGTAATATGCGACAATGAATGCATTATATGTATATTTCTTTTTTGTTCTAATGACAAATGGTGTCTTATTAATGGGCCCTACATGAATAAAACGTTGGGCCATGAAACTTTTAAATAGAAGCTAGGAAAGTCCCACGTCGACCATGAACACACATGCACCTCGATTTATATTGTCCAAGCGAGACGGAAGAGATTGTCTCTTCGGAGACATCCGATAAAATTGGAACGATACAGAGAAGATTAGCATGGCCCCTGCGCAAGGATGACACGCACAAATCGAGAAATGGTCCAAATTTTTTTGCACTTTTTTTAGTATAATTCATTTTCATATGATTGGAGTTTTTATAAATTTTATAACACTTACCTCTTTGGTTCTCTTTAATCTATTTTAACTCATCTCACCGTTTTACGACAAGTTCAATATGGTCATGAATATTTACCAAAAGTTTAATTAGATTTTCTTATTTTAATGAAATTGTTCATGTAATATGCGACAATGAATGCATTACTTGTATATTTCTTTTTTGTTCTAATGACAAATGGTGTCTTATTAATGGGCCCTACATGAATAAAACGTTGGGCCATGAAACTTTTAAATAGAAGCTAGGAAAGTCCCACGTCGACCATGAACACACATGCACCTCGGTTTATATTGTCCAAGTGAGACGGAAGAGATTGTCTCTTCGGAGACATCCGATAAAATTGGAACGATACAGAGAAGATTAGCATGGCCCCTGAGTAAGGATGACACGCACAAATCGAGAAATGGTCCAAATTTTTTTGCACTTTTTTTAGTATAATTCATTTTCATATGATTGGAGTTTTTATAAATTTTATAACATTTACCTCTTTGGTTCTCTTTAATCTATTTTACCTCAACTCACCGTTTTACAACAAATTCAACATAGTCAACAATATTATGTATATTCGACCAAAAAAAACAATATTCTGTATATTTACCAGAAGTTTAATTAGGTTTTCTTATTTTAACGAAAATATTAGGTTTAATTAGGATAGAGGAGTCCCACGTCGAACAAAAGTTTACATCCACCTCGCCTTATATTGCACAAGCAAGCTAGGAGGTGTTGTCTCTTCGGAGACATCCGATAAACTTGGAACGATACAGAGAAGATTAGCATGGCCCCTGCGCAAGGATGACACGCACAAATCGAGAAATTGTTCAAATTTTTTTTTAGTTTTTTTAGTATATTTCATGTTCATTTGACTGTTTTACAACAAATTCAATATAGTCAACAACATTATGAATATTTACCGAAAGATTAATTAGATTTTCTTATTTTAATGAAATTGTTCATGTAATATGCGACAATGAATGTATTACTTGTATATTTCTTTTTTGTTCTAATGACAAATGGTGTCTTATTAATGGGCCCTGCATGAATAAAACATTGGGTCATGAAGCTTTTAAATAGAAGCTAGGAAAGTCCCACATCGACCATTAACACACATGCATTCGATTTATATTGTCCAAGTGAGACAGAAGAGATTGTCCCTTCGGAGACATCCGATAAAATTGGAATAATACAGAGAAGATTAGCATGGCCCTTGCGCAAGGATGACACGCACAAATCGAGAAATGGTCCAAATTTTCTTGTACTTTTTTAGTATATTTCATTTTCATATGATTGGAGTTTTTATAGATTTTATAACATTTACCTCTTTGGTTCTCTTTAATCTATTTTACCTCATCTCACCGTATTGCAACAAATTCAATATAGTCAACAATATTCTGAATATTTACCAGAAGTTTAATTAGGTTTTCTTATTTCAACGAAATTGTTCATGTAATATGTGATGATGAATGTATTACTTGTATATTTCTTTTTTGTCCTAATGAGTGTTGATGGATGGTGTCTTAATATATACTTTTGATCTATATTTGGGCATCATCGACCCCTCAAAATTCGAATAAAATCTAAATTGAATCTTAGGTCCTTGTACACACCACGAGATGATTTTCATTGCTTATAATCCCATTACGGTCATCTAACATTCTCATCTGGAAAATTCATTGAAAATATGATCACTTACATTTTAGACAGTATAATGTCAATATGAGCCTGTTGATTATTGAATATGTAGTCCAAATAATAAATCTTTCTCCAGGCCTTTTTTTGAGGAGCAAGGAGTCTCGCATTGAACATCCGATAAAATTGAAACGATACATAGAAAATTAGCATGGTCCATGCGTAAGGACGACACACGCGAATCGAAAAATAGTCCAATTTTTTTAATTAACCTCATCTATTGTATTTCTCATATATGTTACTCCTCATTTTAAGTCCTTTTAAATCTATTGCTGCTATGGTTGTTGGATCGGCAATTTTGTGATTTTTTTCCCAATACTTTACGCTAACGTTTTGTGATTTTTTTGCCTGAGCAAACCTTTGAACGGCTCTTACTATGTTTCGTAGCTGCCACACATATCATGTGGGGCTTCCTGATTACTAGCATCTTAGTAAGCCTGTGGTTACGGGCTCGACCACCTCGGATCTTCGAATTGCGGCTGATACGGAGTAGTTATGACTCAATCGCACTATTTCGTAGCGAGTGTGAGACTCTTATGATAACGTTTAAAGGATATCATTAGCGCTAATCGCCTCTCCCCTTTATTTTATTTATGAAAGAAAGAATATGTAATTGTTAATCGACCTTTATTTTTAGTTTATACTTTTTTCCTAACAATAGCTCTCGTATTACTCTTATTTTCTTTATCGTCGACACGAATCCCTTGTTAGGTCCCTTAAATTATATCGTGGTAAAATGTAATTCAAGTGGATTGGCTAAGCCCAACTAATATCATTATGTAACATAATGACATTAGTTGGGCCACATGTCTCAAACTTTCGAGTTGTTAATGTGGGCCTTAACCTATGGTAAAGCACTCCACATATAATAAAAGCAAAGGATTTTTTTTTAAATGTCAAAGTTGCTTGGGCCACGTGTCCCAAACTTTGGAGCTATTAATGTGGGCCCTACATGAAAAAAACAATGGGCCATGAAGCTTTTAAATAGGAGGAGCTAGGAGGAGTCCCACATCGACCTTCAACACACATGCACCTCGGTTTATATTGTTCAAATGAGCCAGAAAGGGTTGTCTCTTCGGAGACATCCGATAAAATTGGAACGATACAGAGAAGATTA